GGCAGGACAGGAACTCTATATAAAGACTTTAACACAGGGGTAGCTCTGGTTCAGAGAGGTAGGACCACCGCAGGAGGAAGGGTAAGGTTTTAGCTCTTAGCTTTGACCTCTTGGCTTTCTTCTTTGCATTGATATTCCTGTTGGGGAATGCCTAGAAGGTAAAATAACCAAAATGCAATCCAGCTTTGGATTAATACGATCTACGTGCCCTTCATGTACTTTCTTTTCTACCAAGGCCAATTCTTTCTCAGCTTCAGGTGATAATTCTCTTGGACTATTTAAGTCCTTATCACCTTCTAAGGTTTTAAACAAATTATTCAGTTCATCATTTTTTACCCCAACAATAGTTCTTAGATGAGAAATGTCTCCAAATAATCTTTGAAAGTCATTAAGAGTCTGTAGTCGATCTCTCCTAATTTGCACTTTTTGAGGTCTAATTTTTTGAAGTTCTATTTTATATCCTAAATAATTAATAGAATCTCCTCTTTGTACCTTTTCTAAAGCAATTTGTAATCCCCAGCAAGGCAAAATTTTCTTTACTTTTTCAAACATTCTTTCTAAAGTATCTGCATTTGAATCAGCTAATAAAATGTCATCCATATAATGATAAATTATAGATTTAGGAAATTTTTTACGTACCACTTCTAATGGCTGTTTTACAAAATATTGGCACAAAGTTGGGCTATTCAACATTCCCTGTGGGAGAACCCTCCATTGAAATCTTTTAACCGGTTGAGAATTATTATAAGTAGGCACTGTGAAAGCAAATCTTTCTCTGTCTTTTTCTTGTAAGGGTATTGAAAAGAAACAGTCTTTTAAATCAATAACTATGAGAGGCCAGCCTTTTGGTAACAGAGTAGGTAAAGGAATTCCAGATTGTAAAGAGCCCATTGGCTGAATTACTTTGTTAATTGCTCTAAGGTCTGTTACCATTCTCCATTTACCAGATTTTTTTTTTATAACAAATACAGGAGAATTCCAAGGGCTGGTTGATTCTTCAATATGATGAGCATTTAACTGTTCTTCCACCAGCTCTTGTAAAGCCTGGAGTTTCTCTGTTGTTAAAGGCCATTGCTGAACCCATACAGGCTTGTCTGTTGACCATTTTAAAGGTAGAGCTGTTAATGTTTTTGGAAGATTATCAGTTGTTGTGCCCTGTTCTTGTATGACATGGATGGCTGGTGAGCACTCATTAGAATAATATCTTTTAATATTTCTCTCAGAAACATGTACTAATTTATGATTTGTTTCTGAGATTGGAGGGATATTAATCTGAGTATTCCATTGTTGTAACAAGTCTCGACCCCACAGGTTCATAGCTATGTTAGCCATATATGGTTTTAATTTTCCTTTCTGTCCTTCTGGACCTATACATTCAAGCCATCTTACACTTTGTTTCACTCTAGATAATGTCCTAATTCCTAAGAGTTGAATGTTTACCTCCTGAAGAGGCCAAGTTGGATGCCAAAATTCTGGTGCAATTATGGTAATGTCAGCACCTGTGTCTACCAGACCAGACAACAAAACACCATTTATTTTTATTGTTAGTTTTGGTCTTTGTTCATTAATAGAAGTTTGCCAAAAAATTTTCTTTATGTTTTTTCCTGTATTTCCTATTTTCTCTGTTTCATCATCTCGACTAACATGATTTATTCCAATAGACATTTGGTTATTTAGTTGCTTTGAGTAGGGGTTTCCTCTACAACTGCAGGAAAGGTTTGAACTGGATTTACTGTGGGGGCCTGCCTGAGGCCCCTCTGGGAGTTTCCCGAAGCTCGAGGCAGAGGGTTACCCTGTCTGTCCCTTGTTGATCTACATTCGTTGGTCCAGTGTTTTCCCTTACCACACCTTCTGCATACTCCAGAAGGAAGGGGCATTCTGTTGCCAGTGTTCCTTGAATAAACATTATTTCTAGGAATGACCTGTTTACAATCCCTTTTCAAATGTCCTTGCTTTCCACATCCAAAACATCTAACATTGCTCAAACCTTTTGAAATTGCTTTTCCTACCCACATATCATCATGGTCATAAGCCTCTACATTAACTGTATCTCTAATCCAATCTTCCAAAGGTGCAGATCTTGCCTTTAACGGCCTAATTATTCTTTTGCACGCTGCATTTGCATTCTCAAAGGCTAAAGATTCAATTATTATCTGACTAGCCTCTGAATTCAGGACCATTTTTTGTACTGCTGAAGTCAATCTTTGTAAGAAATCTGTGAAAGATTCTTTGGGGCCCTGTATAACCTTTGTAAATGACTCAGTTTTTTTTCCTGGTTCTTCAACTCTGTCCCATGCATTCAAAGCTGCCGTTTTACATAGAAGTAGGGTTTGGACATCATATGAACATTGTGTTTGTACTGAAGCATATTGGCCTTCGCCAATAAGCTGATCCTGGCAGACTTGTATTCCGCTATCCCTCCATTGTCTTTCTATATTTTTAGCCTCATTACTGAACCACATTTTCCACTGGAGATTTTGTCCAGGTTCAAGAACAGCCTGTGCCAATTCCCGCCAGTCCTTTGGTATAATCCTATTACAAGTTGACCAGGTGTTTAACATTTGCTTTACATATGGGGAGTGCATGCCATAAGATGCTATTGCCTCCTTAAATCTTCGTAAGTCTAACATTTCAACTGGAACCCAAGTATTTTGTTCATTCTCTTCATCAGGTAGCTGCTGTACGGCTACTGGATAAATTAAGGGTGATTGTGTGAAAACTGGCTTTCTTTCTGTAACCTTACGATCCAATTTTGAAACAACTTCACTATTTATTTCTTCTGTCTGAATTTGAATTTCTCTATAATTCATTTTTACCGGTTTAACAAGTTTTTCTAAGACTGTTATCCTGGCACTTAAGTTGACGATCTTTTTAAATAGTAAAATGAGGATAAGAAAAGTAATAAACTGAATAATTCGATCAATATTAATCTTTTCATATAGTTGTTCCATTGTCAGAGTGCCTAAAATTTCAAACAAAGCCCAATTTTCTTCCAATGTACACATAAAGCCCATTTTTTTTTTTAATGTAGAAAAAAATTCTCTTTTAAATAGATATGTTAATTGACTTACCAAGTCTGGGTAGAACAGTAGAATCCCAGGGAATTTCACAGCCACCTGGTGTTCGAGGTGTGAATCCAGCGAGAGAGAGAGAGAGAGAGAGAGAGAGAGAGAGAGAGAGAGAGAGAGAGAGAGAAAGTGTAGCCGCTTGAGCCGAGTCAAGCCTTGGCTTTACAGGCAGGGGCCCTGTTCAGCAGGGCAGGTCTGAGTTGTTTGTAGCAGTTGCAAGTAGCTCCAGCTGCGGGTCAGTCAGGCCTGGGCCCAAGCTAGGCAGCCCAGGCTGGAAACCGGACCTGCCGCCAAGCCAAGCCAAGCGGTTTTTAATGAATTCTTGTCACGTTGGGCGCCAAATGTAGATGTATCCAACCTTCTTATTAAATAAGAAACACAGAACCAACGCAAAGAAGAAAGCCAAGAGGTCAGAGCTAAGAGCTAAAACCTTACCCTTCCTCCTGCGGTGGTCCTACCTCTCCGAACCAGAGCTACCCCTGTGTTAAAGTCTTTATATAGAGTTCCTGTCCTGCCTTCTCATTGGTTGTAAACCCAACCACATGACCGCCTCCTCACAGCCTGTCTGTATAGGCCTCCAGGTTTTCCATGATTGGTATTAAGATTAAAAGCATGTGTATCCAATAATGGCTGTATCCCTGAACACACAGAGACTTACCCAGCTCTGCCTACCAAGTGCTGGAATTACAAGCGTATGCTACCACTGCCCTGCTTTCCTATGGCTTGCTAATAGCTCTGACCCCCGGGCAACTTTATTTATTAACATGCAAATAATATTTTAATACAAATAAAATATCACCATACCTGCATGTATGCGCATGCACTGTGTGTGTGCCTGATGCCCACAGAGCTCAAAAGAGGGCACTGGTTCCCCTGGTTCCAGACTTATTTATTTGAGACAGGGTCTCTCTATGTAGTCCTGGCTGTCTATAAACTCATTTTGTACACCATGTTAGCCTTGAACTCATGGAGATCCTCCTGCCTCTGCCTCCCGAGTGCTAGGATTAAAGAGGTATGACTGGGCATCTAGCGTTCTCTCTCTCTCTCTCTCTCTCTCTCTCTCTCTCTCTGACTGAACCTGGAACCCACTAATTCAGCTGGTCTGGGTAGCCAATGAGCTCCAAGCATCCGTCTGCCTCTACCTCCTCAGCACTGGAGTTACAGACATGTGCTGCCTTATCTGGCTTTTATATGTGTGGATGTTGAGGATTGGAACTTGGCTCCTCATGTTTATACAACCAAGGCATCTTCTTGGCCCCTAGACTTAGTTTTATTTAATTACTGTATGTGTATGAGTGCTTTGCCTACATGTATATATGTGTGCTGATGCCCCTGGAGGCCAGGAAAAGGAACATGCAAATAGAATATCTTTGAGAATTTCCCAGCTATGAGAAGACTAGGCTCCTCAAAGAAGGCTCCTGAGCAGGACAAATTTAAAAATAAATCTAGGGGGCTGGAGACATGGTTCAGTGGTTAAGAGCACGTGTTGCTCCTACAGAGGACCAGAGTCCAGTTCCCAGTACCTATATCACCTATATCAGGCGCAACTCCCAGGGCATCTGATGCCCTCTTCTGGCTACCTATGACTCCTGCACTCACATGCACATACTCCCATGTAGACACACACATATATATGCATAATTAAAAACAAAAATCCTAAAAGCTAGAAGTGGTGGCACATGCCTGTAATCACAGTACCCAAGGGACAGAAGTAGGTAGATCTAAGTTCAAGGCCAGTCTAGTCTACATAGTGAAAACAGTCTCAAAACATTACCTGGTTTACCATAGTGTTCTGTTCTTTCCTGTTAAACATCAGGGGGCTCCACTGAGCTAGAGTCCATTTTATATTAATGTCTAGGCTTAGAGGGTTTGGGTACCAGGGAAGAAGTAATAAGTTCTGAGTCCTCGCCCTCTCCCTTCCATGGCCTCCAGGAAGCGATACCTCCGGAGGAGGTCAGCTCTGGGACAGCTGAACACTATCCTCCTCGTAGCTCGGCCCCTACTCCAGAGACGACAGAGGCTTCAAGTAAGAAGGCTGGATTCATGGAGGGGTGGGAGTGGGGGTGGCTCCTGGATTGTGGGGAATCTCAGGATGGAAGCCAGGTGGCCTTGACTGGCCGAGAGGGAAGAATCCTGACAGCCTAAATTTGCCAGGACTGAAACATCAGAGCCCACTGCTTGCTGACCGCCTCCATTTCCTGTTCTGGCTGGGACAGGCTGGGGCCCTGCTGGCTATTGTCTTCATCTTGCCACCCCTGGACCTCCAGGCCTGGCTCCCCCTTTCCACCTAGGTCCCCACTCTTCCCTCCAGGCTCCCGGGGGCCCCTTCTGTTCTCCCTTTTGCCTGATGACACCAATGTGAGAGCCATAAAGCTGCTCAAAGGTCAATGCCCACATTCTGCCCCCCTCCCTGGCTCCTCCCTAGCTGGACTTTGTCCCCTGGGACCATTTATTCTCTTCTTCCTTACCTCTTCCCGGTGCCCTAGCAGACAAGCAGTGACGCCCACAGCTTGGAGACGGTGAGAGCTTGGAGAGGGGTAGAGGTGGGTGAAGTCAGTCAGTTGAGCCCCTGTGGGTCTGTGACATTGACGTTCCTTTGCTACCATCAGGGGCTCCTGGGGACAGGAGATCACTGAGCTGCTGAGTTGGGGATGGGCTGCTGGTGGTGTAGGGGCATCAACTCTTGCTGGCTCTCTCCCACAGCTTGGGCATTCCCGTGGCCCAGACAGCAGGGAGGCCTGGGGAAAACTGTCAAGTATGGTGAGTGGTCTGGAAGCAGAGGTCTTGTGTGGAGTGTGAACCCCTGAGCCTGGCATAGCACGGGGGGAGGGTATGGTTCCCAGGGTGCCACCTGAGCAGAAGTCTGGGGTTCTCTTGATTTTCCTTAGAGGCGAGTAGGGACCTGATCATTTGTTTTCAGGGTGTGTCCTGGATCTTTAAGGGGAGATTTGGATGGGGCGGGGTGCACCCAGTCCTTCTCAACTACCCTTTAGTTCCTGATAATTTGGTTGTCTCCACCAGGACCTGGGGCGCTTGGAGATCCCAGCCCAGCTGGCTGCCCTGCTGGAGACAGCTGAAGGTGAGTCATCTGAACGTCCACTCTGAGTCCCTTACTCTGGGGCTTCTCTGGTCCAGATCTTCCTTTCTCTGAGCCACCCATGGTCACTCTGTCCATGGTGGTTGGCAGCTTGACAGAGAAAATGGGACTCTGAGTATCCTAGGCTGTTTCTTCCTTCCCAGGCCACCAGGCTGCCCTGACTGGGAGCATCACAGAGTCCCTGCCACCTGAGATTCCTGTCCGGCCCAGCCTGACCCTCCCTCCGGACATTGACCAGTTTCCATTCTCCAGCTTCGTGTCCTCCAACTTTCAGGTGAGGCCCCTCAGTGCTTCCTGCACGCCGGAAGCTCCAATGTAAGCGCTCCCAGTCAGGGCCGGGCCTCCACCTCCTCCCTGCCCTCCACCGTGGTCATCAGAGCTGCCTGAAAACAAAATAGTCTTTACACAGTTGTTACATAGTCCCCGCCACACAGACTGGTTTCGGCCACACCTTTCCTGTACCTGTGGCATTGTCTTGCATTGAAGTTGTGTCCTTAAAGAATGTTTGATGATGGAAACTTCCCAGGCCAGAGGCTTAAATACAAAAGCAGGATTCACAACTTCCCATACCAGAAGAGCTCTGGATTAGTTTAATTACGAATTTTTTTTTTTTTTGAGACAGGGTCTCATTATGTATCCTTGTTGTCTGGAACTATGTAGATCAGGCTAGCCCTGAACTCAGAGATCCACCAGCCTCTGCCTTAAGAGTGCCGGGATTAAAGGTGTATGTCACCATGGCCATCCCTATTTTCATAAAAATGCTAAAGGCGGGATCTTACTCTGGTAGCTCTGGCTCGGCTGGAACTCCTTACAGAGATCAGCCTTCCTCTGCCTCCCAAGTGTTGGGATTAAAGGTGTGGACACTACACCAGCTTGATGTCAATTTTTGTTTGTTTGTTTTTTTTTTTTTTTTTGCTTTTGAGACAGCATTCTCTGTGTAGCTTTAGAGCCTGTCCTGGAACTCACTTTGTTGACTAGGCTGGCCTGGAACTCAGAGATCCACCTGCCTCTGCCTTTTGAGTGCTGGGATTAAAGGCATGTGCCACCACCACCACCAATTTTTTAATGAAAGAACAATTGAAGGACTGGGAAATTCTCAGTGGGTAGTAGTGCTTCATGAGGACCTGAATTAAAATCCACAGCATGCCGGGCGGTGGTGGCGCACGCCTTTAATCCCAGCACTCGGGAGGCAGAGGCAGGCGGATCTCTGTGAGTTCGAGGCCAGCCTGGGCTACCAAGTGAGTTCCAGGACAGGTGCAAAGCTACACAGAGAAACGCTGTCTCGAAAAACCAAAAAAAAAAAAAAAAAAAAAAATCCACAGCACACATGTAAAAAAGCCAGGCATGACCACACATACCTGTAACCCCAGCATTAGGGAGTAAAGATGCAGGTGGATCCCTGGAATTTGCTGGTCAGACAGTCTATGCAAAATGACAAGCTTTTCAGTTCAGTGACAGACCCCATCTCAAGGCAAACAAGGAAGATGTCTGACATTCTCCTCTGGCACACTCCTGCACATGCATGTCTGTGTAACACGCACACATGCATCCACGCGCATGCACGTCTCTCCTCTTCCCAGGGTACATGCTCCTGGGGGGACTCCTCAAGGAGTGACTTCTCTGGTCAACTCGGAGGACCAACACTATGTCACCCTCCTTCCCCTCCAGAAGCCATATCTGCCTAGACCAGGGCAGCTGCTGGATGAGCCCCTGACCCGGATGGATGGCGAGAATCCTCAGCAGGCTCTGGAGATCAACAGGGTGGTGAGTGACGCATCGGGAACGGACAGAGTGGTCGCTATAAGGACTGGAAAGGTGCAGGGGAGCCCTGTGCTTCCTGCCCTGACCTTACTTTTCTGTCAACAGATGCTGCGGCTCCTGGGGGAGGGATTCCTGCAGTCCTGGCAGGAACAGATCATGGGCACGTTCCTGATTCGGAAGGCACAGCACCGGCCGGGACTTCGGGACGAACTCTTCAGCCAGTTAGTGGCCCAGCTGTGGCACAACCCAGATGAGCAGCAGAGCCAGCGTGGCTGGGCCCTGATGGCGGTTTTGCTCAGCTCCTTCTCCCCTACGCCTGCCCTGCAGAAGCCATTGCTCAAGTAAGGAGTCCAGTGGATGGGACTCTGTGAGTGGGATCCACATAGCCTCCCAAGCTTGCAGCAACCCTGTGCTGTCTCCACAGATTTGTATCTGACCAGGCCCCCCGGGGCATGGCAGCATTGTGCCAGCACAAGCTGTTGGGTGCCCTGGAGCAGACACCACTGGCTCCCATGGCCTCAAGGGCCCACCCACCCACACAGCTTGAGTGGAAGGCTGGATTGCGGCGGGGACGTATGGCGCTGGATGTTTTCACATTCAATGGTGAGGTCTGCCTCCCTCAGTCAGTGAAGCCAGCCCTGCCCTCCGCTCTTCCAGGCCTCCTGCCCTGTGACCCTGTCTCCCTGCCCTGTCCGGTGTGGGGACAGTAGCCATTTACTGTCAGGGTGGATGGAGCCCTCTGTCCCTCACCCTCCCATCAACCCCCTACAGAAGAAAGCTGCTCTGCAGAGGTGGAGTCCTGGACCACGGGAGAGCAGTTTGCAGGGTGGATCCTACAGAGCAGGTATGGGGAGGCCCGGATGGGACAGTACAGCCAGTGCTGACCACTGACTGTGGTCCCCATCCTCATCCTCATCCTCCCAGCCAGTCCCCCCCCACACACACACCCCGCATGGCCCCCAGGGCCCGGATGGACGCTGTCTCTCAATGAATAGAAAGGAAAGGTGTTAGGTAAATGGACAGGCTCCCACTGTAGCTTCCAGAGAGAGAGAGAGAACAGAGATTCTCAGTGAGGAGGGGGTCATGTGACAGCATAAGGCCCAGTTCCTACTTCCACAGGCAAGCAAATGAGAGCATTAGAGCCTGGGGATAACCAGAAGGACTTTGAGATACAAACAGGAGTGCAGTCTGAGGCTTCCAAGTGAGGCTGAGCACAGGGCTCACGCCTGGGGTGGTGGGGACGTCCTCAGAAAGGGCTCCCTTCTTAGACACTTGCCCTCGACTGACCTCAACTCCTGAAGGATGTCATCTGCCTATCCCTTGTCCCTGATCACCTCTGTGGCTCACTCTCGTCCCACCCAGAGGCCTGGAGGTGCCCCCTCGTGGCTGGTCTGTGTCACTGCATTCTGGGGATGCTTGGCAGGATTTGGCTGGCTGTGACTTTGTGTTGGACCTGATTGGCCGGACTGAGGACTTGGGAGACCCAGCTGGTCCCCACAACTACCCCATCACTCCTTTTGGTTTGTAGGTACCACCCATCTGCCTTTTCCCCAGCTGGTAACCCCCACAGCCACCCTGCCATTGTGTGGTGCATAGATGTTGTTGACGACCCAGTCCTTCCACCTAAATGTCTGCACCCCTCTTAGAGGTGACCCCCACAGTAGTCTCCTTAACTAGGCCCACTGTTTCCTGCAGAGCTGAGAACATCCCTCCAGCCCCTGGTGTTCAGGCACCCTCCCTGCCTCCAGGACTCCCTCCGGGACCAGCCCCAGTACTGCCCGGCAGCGGCCCCCCAGGTAAGGCACACTGAGATTGGCTGAGTGCTGGGAATGGGCTGAGAGGTAGATGTAGCAATGTATCCTTTCCCAACAGGTGAGGCCAGGAAGCCGGGAAACCTGGATGGTTTCCTGGACCACCTCTTTGAGCCAGTCCTCTCCCCGGGCATCAGTGTGAGTGGCCTGCCCTCCCTTTCCTTTGGTGCTGGGGGGTAGCCAACCCTTCTGTTTCTCCCAGGCTCTAGCTCTGACACGAACATTTGTCTCTTCAGGATCTGGAACAAGGCTGGGCCCTGAGTAGCCGCATGAAGGGAGGGGGCTCCATTGGGCCCACCCAGCAGGGCTACCCCATGGGTGAGTAGAGATGGTGTCTCTCTAGGGCTTCCCAGGCCCAACAGCAGGGGTGGTCTGAATCTCCTCAGGCAACTGAGATGGGAGCTCTGACCAGTACCCCAGAGGTCAATGCTTTTCTCTCTGCCGGCCTGGGGCTGGAGGGAGGAGGAGGTATGTGGGGCCAAGTCGGAATGAACCTGAGGGACCCTATTCCCTTAGTGTATCCAGGCATGGTGCAGGCACCCAGCTACCAGCCAGCTATGATTCCCGCACCTATGCCCATGATGCCAGCAGTGGGCACAGTCCCAACCATCCCGGGTGAGGCTGGGTTAAGGGCACCAGGAGAAGCTTTCAGGGCTGAAGGTGGGGGAAGGGTCCTGCCGGGAGTCCAGAGGGCACCTGGGATCAAGAGATTCAAATCTGACCATGGCACTTAACCTGCTCTGGACATCTGCTCTTCACAGCCATGATGGTCCCACCACAGCCACAGCCTCTGCTTCCCAGTTTGGACTCAAGGCAGCTAGCCTTACAGCAGCAGAACTTCATCAACCAGCAGGCGATAATCCTGGTAAGAGCTGTGGCTGGACCACGGGGCTGCGGGGGGGAGTGTGGGCACGGGGGCAGGGCCAGCCAAGCTCTTACTGGGCTCTCTAGGGCTTCCCAGGCCCAACAGCAGGGGTGGTCTGAATCTCCTCAGGCACTCTGCCTCTCCTTTCCCTCAGGCCCAGCAGATGACCACCCAGGCCATGAGCCTGTCTCTGGAGCAGCAGAACCAGAGGCGTCAGCACCAAGCTCAGGCCTCTGGGCCTACCACCCAGGCTCCACCCTCAGCCATGACTCCTAAGCCCAAGAAGCTGCCTACCCCCCAAGAGAAGCCAGAGAGTGACCTAGAACCTTCAGATGTTTGCTTTAGAGTAAGGAGCCAAGGCTAGGCAGAGTTCTCTGGGTCTGGTCTGGTCTGGTGGCAGGTAGGTGCTAGACCTACCCAGATGAGACCCTGGGAAGGTAGGCAGGATTGGTCCAAGAAGCCATCAGAAAGGGATGTTGAGAGGACGGGGCCATGGTTGACTGGGAGCTACTCTTTATTTCTTCTTCTGCCAGGAGGACACTCCAGAGGAGGCTGAAGTTGGGCCCCAGCGCCCCAGGAGCTTCCAACAGAAACGGGACTATTTCCAGAAGATGGGTGAGGAGGGTGCTCAGGGTGGTGGCAGCCACCCGATGCCTGTAGCCTGGGGAGGGGAGGCCACACTTTGCTCCCCTGCCAGCATGGCCTGTCCAGGAGCCCAGATAAATAGGCCCCTTTAGTGCTCTGACAGGTGACAGAGAAGGCCATCTGTGGCATTTACAGGGCAAGAGCCCATCAAGATGAAGACAGTGAAGCCTCCGGCCAAGGTTCAGATCCCCCAGGAGGAGACAGAGGAGGATGAGGAGGAAGCAAGGGCAGGTAGGTGTGGTAGGCTGCGGCACCTGCGGCTCCTGTGGTAGGTACATTGTTCAATTCTCTTCACTCTTCCTGGCAGAGTTGCCCCCTCCACGTCCTCCCCCAGTTGTGAAGAAGCCATTGAAACAAAGTAGGACCAAAGCCGTGAAGGAGGGTGAGGTGGAACCAGAAGAGGATGAAGGGCCGGCCCAGGGCAGGGAGCCCACAGCGCAGAGCTCCACCTCCACACCTCAGCGCCCACAACCCAGCAGGGCACCCACAGTGCAGAGCTCCACCTCCACACCTCAGCGCCCACAACCCAGCAGGGAGATCCGTAACATCATCCGAATGTACCAGAGCCGTCCGGGCCCTGTGCCTGTGCCTGTACAACCCACCAGGTGGACCCCAGGTGTTATGTGGCCAGGGCTGTTTCTCTCCTCAGGGAATCACACTGTGTAGCAATAACTCTCTTTCTTCCATAAGGCCTGTCAAAACTTTTCAGAAGAAAAATGACCCTAAGGATGAGGCTTTGGCCAAGTTAGGAATAAATGGTGCCCACTGGCCTCCATCGGTGAGCTCCCCTGCCATTCTCTGCAGGGCGTGGGCTGTGATCTGTTCAGGAATCCTGGGCTAAACTTGGGGTTTCCAGGGTAACTTGGCCTTGACCATAGCCCTGTGCCTTCTCTTGCAGACGGTATCTCCTAACCTAGAGAAGAGCTCTCTCCCAGATGTGGCTCCCAAACCCAAGGCTCGACCACGGCTTGAGCCCTCCTTATCCATCCAGGAAAAGCAGGGACCCCTTCGGGACTTGTTTGGCCCATGTAGCCCAAGCCCGCCCACAACTCCGGCACCCCCACCTCCACCTCCACCAGCTCTTCCATTGCCTCTGCCTGAGGAACCCAAGACCCTTCCAGTGGAGTCTCGTGGTGAGGAATCCATGTTTCCTGTGTTGAGTCTCTTTAGGTTGGTGGCGGGACTCACGACAGCCTCTCGGGATCTATGGCGAAAGTGTGACTTTCATCCCTGTTTGGCTGAGACCAGCTGTTTGGGCTTCTGGACTTTGGAGCTCCGGAGCTCTGTTTTCCTCATTCCTATCCAGGGCAGGGCTGAGGCACCTTGAAGCCTGTCTGGCACTAAGGGACTGACCTCTGCATGGTGTCCTTGATGAAGGCCTGACAGGTGGTTTTTTTTTTTGTTTTTTTTTTTTGGGTGGTGGTGGTGGGGACTTAGTGGCTGTGGCTAATGTGACCAGGGACACTAGGAAAAACTCAGGGCCCGAAATGAAGGCAGGAGTTGATGGCAGGAGTGGCGGTCTGAAGTGTCTGGAGACTGAGAAAAACAGGAACATGAGGGTCTCCTCTCTCTCTGCTAGCCTTGACAGAGCCCATGAAGGACCAGGGCATCTCCACTCAGCTTCTTGTGCCCTCTGGTAGCGTGTGCTTCTCCTACACCAATGCATCCTGGAAGTTGTTCCTACGAAAGGAGGTGGGCATGGGGGGGGGGGGGGCCTCTTGGGGCTGGCAGGGCAATGACAGGCTGTGTGAGATCCTCACCTGAAACCCCAGCACATCTCCTTCCCCATGGACCACTTTTTCAAGGTTGATTTTCTGGGTTGGGCCTGGGGGGGCAGAGGTCGGCTGGCCCGGCCACAGCCTGGCATGGCCGACCTCACTCTTTCGCCCTGCCCTGCTCTTAGGTGTTCTACCCCCGCGAGAACTTCAGCCACCCCTATTGTCTCAGCCTCCTCTGCCAGCAGGTGAGGGCCTGGCCCACCCACCAACCTGCCACACCCACAGGCAGACCACGTCCCAGGACCCTCGCTGTTTACAGCTGGCACTCAGAGGGCACTTTCTGCGTCGAGAGCCCTGCCTCAGTGTCCTTACAAAATCGGGACTGTGATCATCTTAGTTTTACAAATGAGAGGTCCAAGCAAAGTGTGCCCGGCACAGGCTCGAGCACACACTAGGTGCTTCATAAATGGTGGTTGTTACCCGGTCACTTTCGGCAGTGTGTCGGCTGCTACACTGTGTCAGCAGCAGCCGACCACGGTGCCGCCGAAGGAAGCAGTGTAGTGGATGCGGGATGGGGAGGGGAGAGCTGTAGGTCTGGACATGGTCCTGGGATTTGGGAACCTTCTGTCATCTCCGGCCCCTGTCTCTAGCAGGAGCCAGCCAGCACTGCTGGATATGTAGGCCCCACCCCGGGTCCTCTTCCTTTCCTCCATTATACACCCATAGCGGCTGAGGGTGAGCGCTGGTCTCAGGACCTGGTGCTGACCACCTTGCTCCGCCTCCAGATCCTGCGGGACACCTTTGCAGAGTCCTGCATCAGGATCTCCCAGGAGGAGCGGCACAAGATGAAAGACCTGCTGGGTAAAGGGTCCTGGGAGCTGGGGTGTGGGGCTGGACGTGCCCCCGAGGGGAAGTGTCACGGGAACAAGGATATCATGGACCCCCCTTGCCCACAGGAGACTTGGAGGTGGGCCTGGACTCCCTTGAGACTGCTGAAGACAGCATCAGAAAGCGCATCGTGGTAGCTGCTCGAGACAACTGGGCCAATTACTTCTCGCGCATCTTCCCAGTCTCGGTCAGTGATGTTGGACTTAGGGAGCAGGACACAGTTCGGCTCTGGAACACTGTACTCAAGGGCTCCAGGCATCCGGGCAGTACCAGGAATGGCTGACACTCCTTCCTTCCTGACAGGGTGAGAGTGGTAGTGATGTGCAGCTGCTGGGTGTGTCTCACCGGGGACTGAGACTGCTGAAGGTGACCCAAGACCCCAGCTTCCACCTGGACCGGCTGAAGACACTTTGCTCCTATAGGTGAGTGGCCCAGAGTCTGGAGTGGGGTGGCAAGATGGCCTCTAGCTCATCCCCTGACTGTGTATACACAGCTTTGCTGAGGTGCTGGGTGTGGAGTGCAGGAGCAGCTCCATCCTGGAGCTGTCACTCAAGAATGAACAGCTGATACTGCACACAGCCCAAGCGAGGGCCATCAAGGCCATGGTGGAGCAGTTCCTGAGTGAGCTCAAGAAGGCAAGTGTGGGCGATCTTGCCCTGCCTGGCTTCCCTGGGTTGAGGCTGCAGATCTGTCAAGGTTCCTGGTACTCCTGGGTACTGGGTGGGGGGACATCCAGGGCAGACAGTAGACCACCCACCTGCCTGCAGGACTCTGGCTATGTCATTGCCCTGCGCAGCTACATCACTGACGACCACAGTCTCCTCAGCTTCCACCGTGGGGACCTCATTAAGCTACAGCCATCGGTCACTCTGGAGCCAGGTAATCCCCAGGGCTGGTGCAGGGAGGCTGCCAACGGGCAGAGGGGTGAGCAGGTGAACCATCCTGTGGGAATGCTTTCTAGGCTGGCAGTTTGGCTCTGCTGGGGGCCGCTCGGGACTCTTTCCTGCTGACATGGTGCAGCCAGCTGCCGCTCCGGACTTCTCCTTTTCCCTGGGACACAGAAACAGCTGGCAGCGCAAGAGTAAGCCACAGCATCTCAAGGAGCCGGCTCAGGAGGTAAGGAAGACACAAGGGGTGAAGTGATAAAGGCCTAACTAGGCATCTCGGAAGCAAGGAGCAGGGTTGCCTCAGGTGCTGCCTACTTCCTGTGGCCTGGTGGGCAGTGCTCAGTGTGTTCTGTCCTTTACCATCCCCTGACCTCTTGCCACGTCACCCCCAAGATTGTAAGCCACACCCTCTGAGTACTAAGTACCTGTGGTACTTGGTTCAATGCCTCCATAGAAGATGCTTAATAAATAATCATGGCTTTCCTAGTTTCTGGTGTCACTCCTCTTGGGTCTAATGGGTATGGGGACCAGGCGGTAAGAGTGGGAACAGGGCCTCTGAGCTAGGTGGTGGGCATTAGGGTAGTACCAAATTTCCTGTGCTCCCAGCGCCCCACCCATCCCAGGAGCCAAGAACCCAGTGAAGGCTCAGAGGCCACCTCCTTCACAGCCTACAGCTCTTTGTCTGCTGACTCCCACAACTACACCATGCAGGAATTTGCCCTGCGCTACTTCCGGAAGCCTCATACCTTGTGAGTGCGCTGAACGAACCTCTATGCCTATCTGTCCTCAGTCTTCCCCAACCCAAGCACCACAGAGCCACCAAGCCATTGCTTTTACCGTGGACTTCGTGGCCTGGGACAAGGGCAGGAGGGCCAACAAGCAGGGCTGTCTTTTCTTCTGCCCTCTACAGGCTGACCCAGGCAAGTGGAGGTGCCAAGGAGAAGGTTGCAGCCAGCCTGACTCAGTACACCAAGGTAAGGGGCCATGGCGGTCGGGAGCAGCAGGGTCCAAGGATCTGCCTTCTGACTCCCAAGGCCCTAGATTCACAGCTAAGGGTCTTTGGCCACAGGATCCCATCCAGGAATCCCTCATCTGCCTCAGCGATGAGGACACAAACAGGAAGGCTGTGGCTGGCTTTAAGGGTGAGTGACTGCAGGTCCCCATTGGCAGTGCTTTGGACCTGGGCACCTCACTCCCTTCTCTTTGAGCTGTCCCTGGATCAGCCCATCTGCCAGTAGAGGAAGCTTGCTCCACCAACTTGTGTTTCTGCCCATGGGCTGTGTGACATCCAGGGCAGTTGATGGTTCAGCTGACATTGGCATCTTTGGGTTTTCCTGAGCCTATTTCCTCCTCAACCAAGTCAGAGACAGCTGTCTTGCCTGGTGTGTTTATGCTTGGAGAGTAAGGTGTCAGCTGTCAGGTGACCTGTACAGTGGCAGCACAGGTCAGATCAGGCCTTGTTTACTGTGCTCCATATCCTGCCTGCAGCTCTGATGCAGTTTATGGGGGACCAGCCTAAGCCCCGGGGCACGGATGAGCTGGCTCTGCTCTATGAGCTACTGAAGGTAAGTAAGCAAGGACTGTGCGCTAAGACCCTGAGCGCCATTCCTGCCCGGGCCAGAATGGGACTCTCCCCATCCCCGTTTCTCAACTGTTTCAAAATACTTTATCTTCGGCCGGGCATGGTGGCACACACCTTTAATCCTCAGCACTCGGGAGGCAGAGGCAGGTAGATCTCCATGAGTTCGAGGCCAGCTTGGTCTACAGAGGGAGTTCCAGGACAGCGAGGGCTACAGAGAGAAATCCTGCCTTGAAAAACTAAAATAAATAAATAAAAACAAAAAATACTTTATCCTCAAAACAGCTCCCAGCACTACGTTTTGGGCTATTCTGCTATTATACAAACTACAAATGCTTGCCTAAGAGCCGAGGGGTGTACTCTTTAGTAGCATGTTTGAAAATTAAGGTTCATATAAAGCCCAATATTCAACTAGTTTCTATAGGAACACAGATTAACCCCTACCTAAGCCTTCCATATGGCTGCCATCTGCCAACTCTACTCCTATACATTTCATACGCACAAGAGTGTGCGCACGCACACACCATGGCATGCCTGTGGAGAACAGAGGGTAATTTGCAGGCGGTGATTCTCTATTCTGTGGGTCCTGGGGATGGAACTTCGGTCATCAGCCTTCATGGCAAGCATCTTTACCCACTCAGCCATCTTCCCAGCTCTACACATACATTTAAAATTACATTGTCTCCAGTTACTTCTAAATACTCAAAGCATGCACTGGGCACCTACAACGTGAAGGGCCTGTGAAGAGGCTAAGTCCTTGAGTGTACAGTCCCACAGGAGACAAACGGAGGAGTGGCAGTTGCTGATGGGTGATGGAGCTCTGAGGGAGGAAGAATAAGCCATGTGTGCATGGGGTCAGGCTGTTCCATGGGCTTTGCTCTTCAAATGAAACCTATGGCTGGCTGATGGGAATCACTGCTCACATTTCGCAGGGTAACTTTGGCTGTTTGATATTCTAGGGACTTAGGGACTAAAGGAAATTAGTGTGATGACACCAGGCAAGAGAGGGTGCTGGCATGGTCTCAGAGCCTGCAGCAAGGAGGCAGAGTTGGGCGGGGGTGGGGGATGGGGTGAGGGGAGGGTGGTGTGGCAGGGCTTGCTGTGTGGGGGTGAAGCCAGAGCAGAGACCGGCCTTAACGAGCAGGCCTGGACTGGCAGAGGATCTGTCTAGGGACACTCTAGGCTGAGCCAGGGACCAAGCCAGATGGGAGAGCTGGAGAGAGGCCAAAAGCATCCAGTATCCGGGAAGTCAGCAAAGCTAACCAGACAGTTCAGAGGAGCAGGCGAGAAGTCAGCCACCAGTTCTTCCCCACGGTGCGGGGGCACTTGTTTAGCACTGTAGATTTAGTTACCCGCTTGTGGGGGTGCTCTCTCCTTCTACCATGGGATACTGGGACAGACTTGGTCAGGAATGTCCCGCCACTTCACCAGCTCCCTGCCTAGCGTTCTTTTAGATTGAATTATTTTTATGTTCGCACATGTACAGGTGCCTGCAGAGGCTAGAAGGTGCGTTAGGTTCCCTGGAACTGGAGTGATCCACCTGGTGTGGGTGTTGGGAATAGGAGCAGCAGGAGCTAACAGCTGGCCTTCTCTCCAGTCTGTGTCTAGCATTCTTAAGCCTTGGGTTCCATCTCCAATGTGGTATAAAAAAAAAAAAAGTGACCAGTTGGGCCGGGCAAAGGCTGCCAGCTGCTGGGGCAGAGGTGACTGTTGGGACATCACTTCCAGTCCTCAGCCAACTACCAGTAGCTGTGTGTGTGTGTGTGTGTGTGTGTGTGTGTGTGTGTGTGTGTGTGTGTGTGTGTGTGCGCTTTTTCAAGACGGGGGTTTCTCTGTAGACCATGCTGGCCTTGAACTCACAGAGCTCCACCTGTCTGCCTCCCCGGTGCTGGGATTAAAGGTGTGTGCCATCAGGCCCCTAGCCAGCCATCACTCACAGCAGCCCCTTGGCTCTACTGTCCTGTCCCGCTGTGCCCACTCACTCTTCCTGTTCCCACAGCTGTGCCAAGAAGACCTCAGGGATGAGATGTATTGCCAGGTCATCAAGCAAGTCACAAAACATCCTCATCCGTGAGTGGGGCCTGTGGGGCAGGAACTGGGGCTGGAACAGCACTGAGTCTGGCCAGCCTGAAACCCAGCTCTGCCCTGCAGAAAGCACTGTACTCTGGGCTGGAGCATCCTCAGCCTCTTCACAGGCTTCTTCTCACCGTCCACCACTCTGATGCCCTATGTGACCAAGTTCCTGCAGGATTCCAGCCCTAGTCAAGGTGCCTGGGTTGGGGAGAGGGACTTCTAGGGCCGAGAATGTTCTGCCAGTTAAGGGGCTTGGATACAACTGTGACCTCCATCATTCTGATTCCCTACAGAGCTGGCCCGGAGCAGCCAGGAGAACCTCCAGCGCACAGTTAAATATGGGGGGCGCCAGAAGCTGCCACCACTGGGGGAAATGCAAGCTTTTCTGGTATTTGGAATACACGGGCCTTTCAGGGCTCTCCTGTAATGGGGGTGGTCAACTGGAGAGCAGGGACTTCTGATTGCTGGAGACTAACCCTACAACTTCCCGACAGAAAGGACAAGCAGTTCGTCTGCTTCTAATTCATCTGCCTGGGGGTGTGGACTACAGGACACATATCCAGACATTCACGGTAAGCAGGGGCTGCCATGGGAAGAGGCTCCAAGCCCATGCTCTGGGACTCTAGGCTCCATCATCACGGCCTGTCATGTGCCCAGGTGGCAGGAGAAGTGCTGGAGGAGCTGTGTGGACAGATGGGCATCACAGAATCGCAGGAAGTGCAGGAATTTGCCCTTTTCCTCATCAAAGGGGAAGGTGAGCCCAGGGAAAGGGGCAGCCTTACTTGCCTGGGCCACTGTCTCCTCCACCGGAGCATAGATTCTGTGCTGGGGCAGTCTGGTCAATTCTGGCACGGGTCCCCTATACAGGTGAGCTAGTTCGGCCACTGTCGTCCCATGAGTACCTCAACAGTGTGGTGACCGACCAGGACATGAGCCTGCACAGCCGGCGGCTTGGCTGGGAGACCCCACTGCACTTCGACCACCCCACCTACACTGAAACCCACTATGGCCAGGTCAGCCCCTGCCCAGAAGCCGCTGTGCAGTGAGCGCCACTGCTAAGAAGGGGGCGGCTCCTATCCAGGCGACCTCTAGACTCCCTCTGCACAGTGACGCACTCGGTGGCAGCTGGCAGCGAGTCTCTAGAAGCCACCAGCTGTCGGGGAGGTCATGACACAACGGCCCCTCCCAACTCTCCTCAGGTGCTTCGGGACTACCTGCAAGGGAAGCTGATGGCCAGTGCCCAGGCAGATGCTCAGCTTGCCCGGCTGGCGGCCCTCCAACACCTCAGGAAAGCCAGCAAAGGTCCCCCATCAGAGTGCGTGAACTCAGCTCAACCCCTCTTGCCAGCCTCTCCCTCAAACCTAAGGGCTTCAGCCTACCACCTTCCCTCCTCCAAGGCCACACTCACTTGACCTTTTCTGGCCCTGACAGACTGGCCTCGATTAGCCGATGCCTGTCTTCTCTGTCCCTCCCCAGCCTGCTCCTGAGCAAGTCCTTATCCATAGTAGGTGCCAGTTCAGTTACGTGGCAACACACACACCACCCTACCCCGGCTGGTCCATGGCCACAGGCCCAAATGACCCAGGCTGTGCACCCTAGGCAAGAGCTGCTGGCGTACATTCCCAAGCCACTGCAATGGCAGGTGAACAGAGCCAACATAAAGAGCTTGGTGGACCAGGAGCTGAGACAGCTGCAAGGATACAGCCCACAGAGAGCACAGATTGACTTTATTGGTAGGTCTGCATAAAGGGACAGGTGGGTGTGACAGTCAAGGCCCAGGAGGGAGGGATGAGGAGGCCTCTATGCCCAGTCACCCTTCACTTTCCCTGGGGAACAAAGTGAGGCAGGTCCAGAGATCTGCAGCCAAGACTCTTGTCCTGCTCCTCTACCCACAGAGACCACGGCCCAGCTGCCCCTCTTTGGCTACACTGTGTATGTGGTGCTGAGAGTGAGTAAGCTGGTTCTTCCTGGGCCTGTCCTCCTGGGGCTCAACCGCCAACACCTTGTCCTCATGGAGCCCAGCTCCCAGGTAGGTAGAGGTCCCGTTCTGGTGCTTGCTCAGATCCCGGGTCAGACCTCTCATACCATTCACTGCTACCCCACCCCCACGCCACTCTGCTGTATCTGCTACCCTAGAAACTCTGCTGCTGCATCCCCCTAAAAGACCTGCAGCGGCTCCACCTGCTCAGCCCACTGGAGGACAACGGGCCCCCTGGCCTGGAACTCAATTATGGCTCTGCTGACAACCCCCAGACTATCTGGTTGGAGCTGCCGCAAGTGAGTGGCCAAGGCATCTGTAGTCCCAGGCCACTGGTCTGTTTAGGAGCAGTGTGGGCATGGGGATAGCTGTACTGAACGTCTCTCCCCCCAACCCCCCAGGCCCAGGAGCTGCAGCACACTATTGTCTTCCTGCTGGAGGGCAGCATGTCCCCCATGCAGTGGCCAGGCCTCAGCTGAGAAGAGTGGAGGAGATAAGGCAGCAGCGTCTCACTGGGCAGTCTGCCTTGGATGTCGGGTGGTTCTCGATTGTCTTGACTGCCAGGCCCTGCTGAAACTTCCTGCAGCACAACCCCTCGTGGAGGCTCTAAGGCAGGGGTGGCCACAGTGACGTCAACTGGGAAAGCAAGCAGACACACTCCCTCCGGGTGTACTCAACCCAGAGCTGTAGGAACTTGGCTTGGGCATCTGACGTCCTGCCTGGGGAAAATGCCCACTCAGCTCTAGGGTCAGCACAGGGAGGGCCTGGATGAAGCGGCTTCTGCACAAATAAAATGCCCAAGAAAAGGAGCGTGTGTGAGCATGTATCTCAAGGAGGACTTTATTCCTACAAACATTTCATTTGGGTCTGGCCTTCTTTTTTTTTTTTTTTTTTTTTTTTTTTTTTTTTTTTTTTTTGGTTTTTCAAGACAGGGTTTCTCTGTGTAGCTTTGCGCCTTTCCTGGAACTCATTTGGTAGTCCAGGCTGGCCTCGAACTCACAGAGATCCGCCTGGCTCTGCCTCCCAAGTGCTGGGATTAAAGGCGTGCGCCACCACCGCCCGGCCTGGGTCTGGCCTTCTTGACGGGAAGAGGGAGGGCAGTGAAGGACGGGAAGGGGCCTCACCCTGGCAGAGAACTTAAGGACAAGATGGGAAGATGACTGGTTTTATTCTTTGGCAGCAGCCATACCATCTGAACCTTCTAATCTGGTGATCTGGCCATGAAGGCCAGGAGAAGCAGGTGGAGAGAAAAGACCATGGGGGTTTAAGCCGGAAGGTGGACTAACCTCTGACCTTCCACCTGATCTGGGGGTCCAGTGACACCTCTAAAGTTAGGTTTGGTGTGGGTGTGTGGGGTGACCCTGAGAATGTTGGGGCCTCTGGCACGGGCCTGCCCAGGACAGAGGAGGGGGATGCTGACCCTGTTCAGCCAGCAGCAGCTCATCTCTGTGGGCCACACAGGCCACGCCAGTCAGCTTCACTCTCACACCGGGCATGGTCGTGGAAAAACTGCTTGATGAGACTCTGGGCTTCTTCCTTCACTGTAGATGTGGGGAGGGGACACAGGAGAAGGTAAGAACCTGACAGCTATCCCTTCCCTGCCCCCACAGTGCCTTCTGGCCCTGGCCAGGTTGGCACTCACCACTCCTTCCAGGAGAGACCTTCTGAGCCAGCAAATGTGAGAGGTGGCGGGCAAAGCCTTTAAACAATTCCTAGAAAGCAAAGGGAAGAGGAAGGAGCCTTGGAGCCATCACCGCCAAGGGCAAGGCAGACCGAGTGGGCAGAAGCTGGCCTTGGCTCAAGGCTTGGCCTTCTCTGCCCTATTTCATTCAGGGGTGCACACTCCTTGCCACCCCAAGCCCCCTGCATTGACCCAAGCACCCCAGGCCCACTCACCTACCTTGGATATGAACCTGCCTTCCTTGTAGAAGGGGGTCAGGTACCTGACTACAACATCTGCAGCCTCTTTCACGGAGATGCCAGGAGCTGCGAGCTGGCACGGTTCTCGAGCAACTTCATTCTCAGGGCTGCGACTGCTGGCCAAGGCACTGTCCTTGGCCTCAGCCGAGATGGAGGAGTTGGTTGAGGGGCGAAGCCTCTTCTGAGTCCCCCTCTCTGAGCTCTCCTGGATAGGGCCACAGCACGGAGGGTCACTTTGAGCTCCCCTTTATGGGCTCTACCCTCCCATCTGAAGGAAGCCTGCACCTCGGCACCAGGACCTGCCTTCCGCCCATCCCACCTGCTGCTAGGTTATGAGAAGTGGTCTTCCCTGACCTTAACCCTTGACCCAGGGCAGCTCTCCGCCTCACCTGGCTCTCTTCCTCCAGTACATTCTGGGGTCTGGGCCTCTTGCCTGGCTGGATGTCCTTTCGAGGGCTAGGCTGACCTTTAGTGAGTGAGCAGGTGCTGGCCAGAGGAAAGAAAGGCAACAGAGGTCTGGGTCTAGGCAGCCGGCAGAGCCCGCCTGTGAATGAGCTTCAAGCTTCAGAGGCCCAGGGAGCAAAGGGGTCGGATGCTGCCCTAAGAACAGGATTCCCAGAAACCTGAACTCTTACCTTGGTTCCTCCCTGGGGCACTCAGTCTGAAGTAGAGTATTCAAATGTCCCCGGACTCCGTCTGTGCGGTTCTCTGGCACATCCCCACAGGAGGGGGTGGCACCTTCTGATCTTGGGACTGAAGCAGGTAACGGTGGGTTTTCCGTTCTCTGACAGAGGAATCGAGTGATATTCTGGGAGTCCTTGAGGGCCGCTGCAGCTAGGAGCTGCTGTCTCTTGCTGGCTCTAGTCTTGGCACTGCACTGGGAGGGGCCTTTTGTCCTCTTCTCAGGCGAGAGCTCCCCAAAATTAACACTACTTCCAGGAGCCTCTCCTTGGTACCCAGGGAGGGGCTTGTTCCTGTCTTCATCTTGAAGGCCTGGGGGACCCTGTTCACCTTCCAGCACCGCCTCGGGGTCTTGCTTCTGGGTCTGAGACTTCCCCAACAGTTCTGTGGCTGTCTGGAATGGGCAGGAGCCTTTGGGGAAGCCAGCTCCTACTCTCTTGGGTTTGAGCTGTGAGGAGAAAGAGGAAGAAGTCAGAAGGCTCAGGACCTCAGACCTCCTCAAAGGTGGCTGTGGCTGTGGTGAGAGGTTCTGGGAACGTGTGAGGAAAGAGCTGAACGGGCATGGCCAGGGGGTGGGGCTGACAAATACAAATACAGAGATGCTCTATGGCCTCTCCTGACATCTGGGTTGGGCAGGGCTGTGATACCAGGAGAGGATAAGTCTGTCTGTCCCACCTGAGGACAAAGGGAAGTGGAGTCTTCCCTTGTCTAGGTCGGGAGTGGCCCCTGGATGCTGCTCACCGAGTAGACATGTGAGGTTGGCGGGATGTCATAGTCATTGGGCTCCGAGGGCTCAGCCCCAACACTGCAACTCCTGCCGCCACCTTCCATGTCATAGAGCTGACCATCCTTGGAGGCTTTGTGGATCTCGGCCACCTACAGAGGGACAGGCAGGGAGATCATGGCACCCACAAGCTACTGCTTAGCCCCAATCCAGATCCTCCAATTCTGCTGTGCATTAAGTGGGGAGTAGATCCTGGGGAAGTGCTAGTTCCCCCTGGGATGGCTAGAATACCTCCAATTAGCAAGGAGGAGGAGCTTTACCACTGGCAATGGCTCTAGGGCCAGCAGGCTGGCAGGTGGACTCTGAATACAGGGAGGCTGCCCTGTCTTATCCTCAGCCCATGAGCATGCTCTACCCTGCTTGCCCCCTTGGCCCTAGGCCTACCTTCTTCAGAACACTGGCCTTGTACAGGTTGACCATCTTGGCATTTCGGAATGCTGCATGTTCTAGCTCCACAGCCTTGGCCTGCAGGTCAGCTCTGTGGGAAGGAATGAGAACAAGAGAAGAGGCAGGTTTGAGTCCTCTCCCTGTGGTCCTCCTGGTTTCTCTTCAGGGACCATGGGTTAGCTTCAGGGTCTGGTGAGGATGGGCACATGGGATTCTGATCAGGAGTCTCTAGGTGCCCTACGGCTTACTGTCTTTCAGTAACCTCTGGCAATCTCTGGTGCACACCCAGTAGGGCTGCAGGGACTGAGAGCCATGGAGTAGGATGGGCCACAACCTGCGGAGAGGCATTCTCTGAAGGAATAAGCCTTGGAGCCCACCCTGTAGATCTTGGGACACTCACCCATCAGTGGCCCCTGCAGTCTGGTGGTTACTGCTCAGGGCCTCCTCCAGAAGCTGCAGACAGTGCTCACGGGCCTACGAGGAGAGGCAAGGCTTGGTCACCCACCCTCAGGGTCAGGCGGGCCTGAGGGCAAGTGGAGATAGATGCTTTTCTCTTACCTTCACTGTGAGCTTAGGGATCTTCCTGCTTGAAGCTTCTCTCAGGGGACAGTCCTCATCTGTGAAAAGGGCAGAAAGGGCTTTCCACTTGACCAGCTCTCTGGAGTCCTCCGACCCTCACTGAGCCATCCACTGATCACACCCAGGCACAGCACCCAAGCCCCTGGGGGCATTTCTGTACCAACCTGGGGGTGTGAATTCTTCTATCTTGGGCTCTTTGCCCTGGAAGACAGACAGCATGAGGGACCATGAGACATCCTGTCCTCTGCAGGGCAGCTCCCACTGAGGGCTAGAGAAGGGACTGAGGTGGTAAACGGGACTACCCAGGACCTTGCATGGACCACCGTGGGCTGGTTATTTTTTGGGGGGTGGAGGGGATGCATTTGAGACAGGGTTTCACTATGTCACCCCTGCCCTTGTTCTCAGAGCTGCCTGCCTCTGCCACCCAAGTGCTAGGATTAAAGCCGTGTGCCACCATGCCGGCTTAGGGGTTTTTGTTTATTTGACAGAAACTAGAGTCGTCTGGGAAGAGGGAACCTCAGTGGAGGAATTGTCTCTAGCAGACTGGTCTGTGGGACATTTTGATGTGGGAGGATCCAGATTCCTATGGGTGTTGCCATTCCTGGGCAAGTGGTCCTGGGTTGTAGAAACAAGCCCAGCGAGTGGGCGGCACTCCTCCATGGTCTCTGCTTCAGTTCTGCCTCCAGGTTCCTGACTTGAGCCCTGACTTCCCCTGATGCTGGACAATGATGGGCAAGTGTCAGCCAGATAAACCCTTTGCTTCCCAAGTTGCTTTTAGTCATACATGGTGTTTTGTCACAACAACAGAAACCAAACTAACAGAGCCACTGAGCCCCATCAAGGCCTCTGCCCCCTTTACCTTGCGCAGGCTCATCTGTTTCTGATAGAAAAGATTCCATTCCCGCTTGTGGGCCTCATCTCTGCCCTCATCACCGCTACCTCCAGAACCTTCATCATACCTAGAGGACAGGCTAGGTGTGAGCAGTCAAGGTCTGGGCTCCGCTCTTCCCCACTTATGCCGCTTGATGGGACAGTGATGTTCCAGCACAACGTTAAAGACCAGGCCCCAGGAAGAGTCACATGCCACACGGCAGAGGCTACCTTTGAGCGGGCAGTGGTGGTGCATACCTTTAATCCCAGCCAGGCGGATCTCTGTGAGTTTGAGGCCAGCCTGGTCTACAGAGCGAGATCCAGGACAGGCACCAAAACTACACAGAGAAACCCTGTCTCAAAAACAAAACAAAAGGCCACCTTTGGCCTGCCCAGTACCAGCAGAGGCACTTCACAATCCCTCACCTGCTGAAGCCCCCATAGCCTCTGCGGCCTCCCTCATACAGCTCGGGATCAAAGCCGTTCCCCTGGAAGGGCCCGATGCAGGTCCTGCTCCAGCTGCTGCTGCTGTGCTCCAGGGCATCAAGTTTCTTCTTTACGGCTGCAGGACTCTGGCAGTGGTCACAGCCTTTGGCGCAGGCGGGTGGTGCATCCCCAAAGTACTTAGCAATGGCAGCATGGCGGCACCTAGAGTAGGCAGTGCCGATGGGATGAGGGGCTGAGGCAGCCAGTGGGGTTCTCCCCTCTCCAAACACTGATTCACCGTCCAGCACCACGCTGGATGCTTCAGACCTTTCCAAAACACTTTTAAAATTTGTTTTCTGTACATCCGTGAACTCTAGTGCCTGAGTCAGGAGAGTGTCAGATCAGTTAGAACTTGTTCCTGATGTTGTGCTGGGGTGCTGAGAACTAAACTGGGGTCCTGCAAATACAGCATATGCTCTTAACCACTGAGTCACCTCTCCAGCCCCTTCCTATACCCTGTTTATTTACAAGGGCTTGGTAGAGCATCATCTGGTGCTGCCCATTGCAGAGTTGGGGCCAATGAGATAAAGCAGTCTTCCTACAGTCATATACTGGGTGACTGCGAGCCAGGATGTGAACCTCATTCTGTTCTGTGAGCTCGAGGACCCTGCTCTTCCCTCTACCCATAGTGGTGGAATGACCTGGCGAGTTGAGGCTCTGGCACAGATATGGCTTTGCCACCAAGGCTGTCAGTAAGTAAAACATTCCACCTCTGAACTCCGTGGCCTGTCCACTTCCGCTGCTACTGGAGCAGTGGTACAGTGCAGCATGACGGCGGGCATCTCACAAGCTGTGAGCACTGATGGGATGCTCTACAGGGGATATTCCTCCCTGTAGGAGAGGGAGGGAAGAACAGGAGAGGGCCTAGCCCGTCCGCAGTATTTTCTTCCGTTAGAGACAGGGTCTCACTATGTAGCAGAGACTGGTCCACGACTCACTATGTAGACTGGGATGGCCTCAAACTCAGATCTGCCTGCCTCTGCCTCCCAAGTGCTGGGATTAAAGGCATTTGCCACCACACTGGTTTTTTGTTTTGTTTCTTAAGATAGGGTCTCACTATTGCTCAGGATGGCCTTGAACACATGAGCCTCCTGCTTCAGATTCCTGAGTCCTGGGATTGCAGGCATGAGCTCTCACAGCTAGTTTTCACTCATATCTTGATCTTTCCTTAGAGACCCTTGCCCCCCCCCGCCCCATCCCCCATGAGCCCTTGGCTGCACCTGGCATAGCTCCTAGAGCAGTGGTTCTCAACCCGTGGTCGCAATCCCTTGGGGGTTGGACAACTGCTTCAGAGGGGTCACCTAAGACCACCGGAAAACACAGATATTTCATTTTGATTCATAAAAGTAGCAACATTACAGTTATGAAGTAGCAATGAAAATAATTTTATGGTTGGGATCAACACAACATGCATTAAAGGGTCGAGGTGTTAGGAAGGTTGAGAACCACTGTCTAGAGACGCCAGTTTTGAGAGCGGCCATCATGCCTGGTCACTGGTGAACCCATTCAGTCAGGAAAATCGTCACTAGAGCTTCCCCTACTTCCAGATATCCCCTTTGGGTAACCACTCTGCCCGAGCTGCTGGCAGGAAGCAGCCTCTACCTGGTGCAGGAGGCTCAGTCTCTTTTCTGATCCCCAGGCTGAGGCCCTGGGAGTGTGTACGTTCTTGCAAACAGTCATTCCTACTGCTAGAATCGTGGTATGGGGCTGGAGAGCCCGAGAAAAAGACGCCAGAGGCAGTGCCGTTTGAGTGCCCAGTCGTAAGGACAAGGAGAGCTGGCAAAAATGGCCTCTAAGAGCTCTTCTTAGTATGAGTACTGCTTAGGGATCTGACCCCAGAGAGCAGCCAATTGTAACACAACCCCCTAAAGAAGTAGGGTCCTCCAGCCGAGTGAAGAACAGGGTCCTAAAACTGGACAAAAGCAGGAGACAGCCACTGGGGGGCACTCTTGCAGCCTGCTCCATTAACACTGAATAGATATGACAACTGTTCCCTCTGCTCAAGACTGTTGCCTGTACAGAGGTGGCTTGTCCTGTCTCTGAGGAGCTTTGGCATCTAGGCGCTGTGGCCATACGGTTGTTGACACCCTGCTCCCCAGCTCTGACTCACTGGGGTTTTGTACTCAGATTCAAAGGGCTCCATTGACTGCAGGGCTGAGGTCAGTTTCTCCTGCTGCAGCCTGGTCTGCCGGGTGGCAAGACAGTCAAACGCCAATGGGCCTGGCCACTGGACAGCAGGGCAGGAGTGTGGGGACAGCTGAGCAGCATGAGACCAACAGTGTCCTTTCTCTTAGGAGGGACACAAGGCCTCTCACCAAAACAAGCAGGCTACTTTTAAGATATTGAGGAGCCTCAAATTTCCTGCACGATGCCTCTGAGTGTTGTGTGGCAGAAGTACCACACCAGAGGGAGCTTGCAAAGCTTACTGACTTGCTTGGGTGGTCCCATAGCTCCTGTTTTTCTTCCTGGGAGAGGCCAGAGGGAGTAGCCAGGGAGTGGCCCAAGAAACAGACTGGGGTGGTCAGGGACCCAAGCCAAAAAGGCCATCCAGAGGGTGGTGGGGCGCTCAAGAGGGAGCTGCTCCACCCTTCCACCAGCACCCGCAGACTGAGCCCCCTGGGGTTATTTCCACAGGGAAGCACAGTCAACCACTCAGTAGTTAGCCCGGCCCTCAGCCTGCAGCCTGGCCCCAGGTGGGTGGTGGGCAGAGCAGGGCAAGAGTAAGTGAGGGAGTCCTTCTGGGGATCTGGAGAGCGAGCGGAGTGGAGCTCCTGGGCAGGGAAGGCCCTGGGTGTGAAGTATAGGACAAGCTCAGGGGAGGGCTCCCTCTGGCTCCGCCTCACCGTGGTAATTTGACACCTAGATCTCCAGGACAACCAACAACAAAAAAGCTGAAGCTGGACAGCAGCTGGCTGTCAGGACAAGAGCTTGCTAGGAGGTGCCAGGGTGAGAAGCAGCAGCCCCCGGCCGCCGGCCGCCGCCGCCGCCGCCGCCGCCGCCGCCGCCGCCACAGGGCAGGAAGGAGGCGGCAGCGCCGGTGCAGAAGTCAAAGGTGGTGGCAAAGGACCAAGAGGAAGCGCAGAAAGGCTCTGGACTGGGGCACCCCTGCTTGGCTCCCCAGTATCTGAGCTCCCAGGTAAGTGACACTGGCCGGAGATGACAAGGTGAAGGAGAGGAGGGAGAGGGCAGCCAGGGTCGCATATCTCAAGGGTGAGGCGCCACGACTTACCATGAACTCAGGAACGTCTTGGGGTACACTGGGCCACTCTCCTAGGGAACTTAGTCACCTCCTGTGTGTACACATTCCCCTGGGACCCAGTACTAGAGAAGGGGGAGTCACTGCCACTTGCTGTGTAGCAGAGGGGCTGGTGGCCTGCTGACATCAATGTAAACCTTTTCTCTTTAGTGAGCTTAAAATAGGGCCCACACGCCCACTGAGCCTCCATTTTCTCAAGGATTAGGGCTGAGCCCTCCCTGTTTCTCAGGAAGGCTCAGGACAAGGTATGCCCAACCTGCTCAATAGCCCCCAGCCCCCAGTTTCAGGACAGGGTATGCCCAGCCAGTTCACCAGCCCCCAGTTTCAGGACAAAGTATGCCCAGCCAGTTCACCAGCCCCCAGGATCAGGACAGGGTATGCCCAGCCAATTCACCAGCCCCCAGCCCCTAGGATCAGGACAGGGTATGCCCAGCCAGTTCGCCGGCCCCCAGGATCAGGACAGGGTATGCCCAGCCAGTTCGCCGGCCCCCAGGATCAGGACAGGGTATGCCCAGCCAATTCACCAGCCCCCAGCCCCTAGGATCAGGACAGGGTATGCCCAGCCAGTTCGCCGGCCCCCAGGATCAGGACAGGGTATGCCCAGCCCCCAGCCCCCAGGATCAGGACAGGGTATGCCCAGCCAGTTCGCCAGCTTCCAGCCCCCAGGATCAGGACAGGGTATGCCCAGCCAGTTCACCAGCTTCCATCCCCCAGGATCAGGACAGGGTATGCCCAGCCAGTTTGCGGGCCTCCAGCCCCCAGCATCTAGCAGAACCTGGAGCAGACCACCTACTTGGGTGCTAGACAAAAGCAGCAGCTTCCACGTCTTTTGAGTTCAGACCTGCTCATTGCTACATGTTTTCAGCTCAGGATAAGCCCAGGGAGGAGTCTCTGCACCCACTTAGATTCCTGGGACCCCCTGGGTCCTCCTTTGGCTGTGATCTCTGAAAACTGAACCAGAGACATGCATGCCTGATTCTAAAGCCAGGGTTAGAGGGAAGATGATGACTACACGGATGAGGCTGGGGAGTGACCCCAGGATTCTCTATGCTACACCACTGTAATGGTGACCGAGCTGTTCATTGGTTCATTCTTTGGGCAGCACACACACACAACCTTCCTGGGCAGGGACTCACAAGGGAAAGCTGATCACCCCTCCTGCCTCCTGTCCTCACACCAGGGTTCAAGTCCCCCCAAGATGTTCCTTCCAAAGCAAACAAGCTGTTATCCAGTAAGAAAGCAAAACTGATATCATTCAGGTTTGGAAACCAAGGAGAAGGCCAAGTGTCCTTGGCTCAGCAGAGGGAGTGGGCTTTGGCTGATGTGGGTGGGGGCTGGGAAACTAACTCCTGTGTTAACAGTGAGAAGTGCAGTACAGAGCCCCCCCCCCCCCCCCCACTGAGCCACAATGGGAACAGCAGTTAGGAGAGAGGTGAGGGAGGGGCATGGCTGTAAGCTGTTAGCCACAGGATCCCAGAGGCAGGAGAGTGACCTGCACCCACAAAACACTGGCTTCCACAGTCCCTAAGACAAGAGAGAAGCCCAGCTTCATGGCTGCAGGTGAGGAGCTCCCTTAATTTCTACTGGCCACCAGATCATTCCCTGTTCTGGAAATCTCAGGAGCCAGGGCAGCAGAAGCAGCAAGGCTTCAAGCACTCATTTCTGATTTCAAACTAGAGCCCCACAGAGGTGGAGTCGCTCAGACACTCAGCATGGTACACAGTAGGCATCTCCACCCCGCTGGTCAGGCCTCTGGGACCCTCAGGTCTCTCCCATCTGTTGGTTATTCCTCATTCAAGATGCTTCTCAAACAAGACAATACGCTGCAGGACAAAAGTGGCTGAGACCCACCATAACAACAACAGGGTACTGCAAGATGCCCTTTGGGGCTGCAAGCCACCAGTGACAAGTGGCACTGCTTATCAGGTACAAACACATTGCCTGCCCTGTCCACGTGGCAGCTGGAGTTGACTACCAGGTTTACAATGAGGAAGCAGAGAGGCTGTGGTACCAGGTTGCAGTTGTCTGGCCTACAGCAAGAACCTCAATGCCATCTGCCACACCAAGGCACGCCAACCAGTTCCCCCGGCTAGCCAGTCTTCCTTCTCTATGCAGCTCTCCCTGACCGCGGTCTGCACCCCAGCCAGGAGTACCCTCAGAGGGCTCCAAGTGCTGTGCAGGCAGCCTGGGCAACAGGTGGGCTCAGTGGCAGCCAGGACTGCTCTCCAGGGGAAGCTACCACTTGCTCTACTGAACATGGTGTTAAGAGAGACTCTAGTCCCCCAGTTCTTGGGCATAAAGTATGGTTTAGAAAGAATTGGACGAACCAGTAATAGAAAGTCTACGAAACACAGAATTATCAGTAGCTCTGCTCAGCTCCCCCCAAACCTAGGGAGGGCCCCAGAGTTCCCACTCCCCCTGACCACAGCTGGAGAACAAGGTCACCTAATAACCACTGGTTATATTGGGTACCAGGCGTCTGTTGGCTCTGCTTTAAATAGTCCACTGGGAGGACGCCTGGGGACCTGCCGGAATGTGCCTCTTTCCTCTCTGGAGAACAAGACCCCTTTGCTCCCCCTCTGTCATGTGCCTGTTCTGTTGGTCAGAGCTTAAAATAACAAAATATCAACTGCCAAGCAAAGAGGGCTCCTCTTCAGCCTTTTGAGGGCAGAGAGCCATATCCAGCAGCCCTACTTCTGCTGGTAAAGCAGGCAAGACCTGGCAGGCAGCCCCGGCCACATCCTAAGGCTGGCACAGTGGCCAGGTCCCACCTAGCTCCCAGTAGGCTGCCTCACTCTTTTTTTTTTTTTTTTTTTTTTTTTTTTGGTTTTTCGAGACAGGGTTTCTCTGTGTAGCTTTGCGCCTCTCCTGGAACTCACTCGGTAGCCCAGACTGGCCTCGAACTCACAGAGATCCACCTGGCTCTGCCTCCCGAGTGCTGGGATTAAAGGCGTGCGCCACCACCGCCCGGCAGGCTGCCTCACTCTTACAGAGGAGCGCACAGCTCACTGGGCAGGAGGCTGCAGTTCTCCAACTTCACACGCCAAGCAGAGTGCAGGAAGAGTGGGAGAAGGCGAGAGAGAAGCTGGGAGTAACTCTGCTAGCAGGAACTTCTGGCCGACAAATTCTGACGTCCCTGTCAGCAGGTCGAGCCCGAGCCACTGCCCTGCTCTGGAAATTGGACATTATGAGACCTTTCACCGAGACCTAGGGTCCCAACCTGCCATTCCTGCCAAGCAGGTGCCTCTTCACCTCACCACTCTCTAGGCCTTTGGGTGTGGCACACAGAAAGTGCTCCTGACCACCAACCTCCTGCCTGCTTCTGCTTTTAAGGAGTGTCTCCATTGGGCTCGTGAGGCAATGTGGGCACAGTGCCAGTCAGGCTGAACAAGCCAGACCAAACATAGATGAAGAGGGAGGGTGTAGACAACAGCCCTGGCTCTGAACCATCCGCACACTATGTCTGTGGGGTGGGATGGTGCAGAGGTCCCGGGACAGAGAGTGGATGGATCACCTTTGCAAGCATGCTGCAACTGGCTAGAGGCAGCATCCCTTCGGTCTGACCAGAAGGAATGTTCTTATGTTCAAATCAGCAGGACACAGATCTATTCTGTCAGTGACAGATAACACATACAGCTCTCAAAAAGCCTGTGTGCCCCACTCTGGTGGTGATGAACTGATAAAACTGATGGCCCAGTCCCACAAGAGGTGGTATTGAATGTGCACAGCTCACGGGCTTCCAAAGAGCTATGGCCTGGCTCTTGCACAAGGCCCATGTATGGTCGGTGACTCAGGGGGACTCAGCTGTGCCGTCTGAGGTGGCAGCTCAAAGCCACACAGGCCTCCCTCCATAAAGAGTGTGTGGGTAGTAGGAGGGCAGTGGCTGGGTCCATCCTCGACTCTCCTGGCCCTGTGCCCACGCAAAGTTCCTGCAGCCAGGTCCCTCCCTAGGGCTTCTCATCTCCACACCACAGAGATAAAGAGCCTGTCCACAGCACAGACGGGGAGGAGTTGAGACAGGCTGCGGTGGTGGTGCACACCTTTAACTCCAGTGTGGGAGGCAGAGGCAGCAGAGTTCGAGACCAGCCTGATCTACAGAGCAAGTACCAGGACAGCCTGGGTTGCACAGAGAAACTTTGTCTCTAAAAACAAACAAACAGACAGACGAAACCCATTTCTACAAAGGGCAGATGAAGTTACAGAAGGTGCCACATGCTGGGGATGTAGCTCTGTGGTACAGTGCTTGCCTAGCATAAGAAAGGCCCTGGGGTTCGTGCCCCAGTAGCACGAAACTGAAAACAAAACATGAACAACAAATTCAGAGAAGGTCCCACCATGTCCTTTATAGAAAGGAGCTCCAAGCGGCTGGCAGCTGTGATCCGGTCCCTGAAGAACTGTTAGGGAAGAAGGGTGGCCAGCCAGGGCCTGAGTGACTAAGGACGACTCAGTGGAGGTGCAAGAGCCTGGCCTTCCACAACAGCCAGGGCAGGCAGCCAGGGTAGGCAGCCAGGGCCTCTCGCTCTCGAAGGCTCGGGCAGAGGCTGCCCAACACAAGAGCAGACAGCCCACAAGTAGGAATGGCCTATCATCGACCTTCAAGGTAGTCTTAGACCTGCTAGTGCCAGGCAGGAGTGCTGGGAGTGACCAGTCTCACAGAGCACAGGAGAGGGACCACCTGCCCGGCTGAGACCAGGGCCAAGGTGGCAATCATCAAAGACACAAGCCCCTGGTCACCTGCCCCATCCGCTAGGAAGAACCAGTTTGGATGCATTGGTACAAGGTTGTTCCTGTCCTTCTCACTCACAGGAGAGATGTGAGGGAGAGCTAATGCTCAATGTCTCCAAACACAAACTCAGCTGAGAGCTTTGACTGGGCCCTCTCTGGAAGCCCTGGCTGCCATCCCTCTTCAGTCAGGCCTTTCCTGGTTAGAACAGAATAGGCCCAAGCCAGGAGGGGAGCAGTTGGCTGGGCCAGTCCTAGAACTCCTGTTCCCATCTGAAGAGATGAAACTCCCAGGGAAAACTGTGTGGTCCTTTCTTCCTCACATGACAATAATATGAGTAAAGAAACTGGCCTGGTAGGAGAGGAGGGCTCTTGGGGACTCAGCTTCATATCCTTCAAGTGACAACGCCTCCTTCAGTTTTTAGAGCTGATCCCTCCCAGCTAGAGTCCCCATAAACCTGGAGTCTGATTCTCCTCCCACACAGAATCCTGAGGCCTGTCTTGCCACCCTGGGCAGCTAGGGGAGGCACCAAAATCCTGAATGCCCCAGAGGCTGGTCAGGGAGCTGTGTCAGCTGAGGCACCCCAGCCAAACCGGATATTGGTGTCTCAAGACAAAAGAATGCAGCAGCAAAGTCACATCTGATGGGCAGAACCTTCACCAACTGCGGCGGCCTTGTCTGGTAGTCCCTCCAAGGCTCTCCAGGTCACATTTATCACAAGCTTTCCTTGGGCAGCTCCAGCCAAGTGTGGGCTGAGGGTTACTCCCTGTCTCCCTCTGCCTGGGACCCACCAGTGGTACACAGGCTTGAGGCTGACAAACCTGTTCTGCAGGCCATGGTGGGAAAGGCCGGTTCCCTGGAGCTAGCTCCCAGCCTGTGAGCAGCTCGGCAGGGACTCTGAGGTGCTGCTGTCCGTGTTGTTACAGAATACAGGAGCTAGCATCATGGCAGCCACGGACTTGGTGGAGGAGATTCGCTCTGTGGGTGAGAGGCTGCTGCTGAAGCTGCAGGGGCTGCCCCAGGCCGAGCCCGTGGAGCTCGTGGCCTTCTCTATCATCGCTCTTTTCACAGGCAAGTGGGGCACCTGTCCTCTGGCCCTTTAGCCCTGTCCCCTCCGTGTCCCAGGGGCTCTTCCTGATATCTGGGAGAGCAAGCCATGGTGCTGGCTGGAAGGTTGGTGAGTCTCCTTCAGGTAAGTAGGAAAAGCAGTGTCCCAGGGGAAGCTAAGGGAGTTGCCACATGTCTGATACTACCTGAGTTGCTAGGCAGTGTTGGGAACTGGATACCGCCAGGGGGTTCAAGCACGAACTGAAAGGAGTCAGGCGGAGGAGTGGAGCAAGAGACAGACGGACCGTCAGCCTCTACCCAGACTGGGGGAGGTTCTGCGGAAGGAGGGCGGGCATCCCCTCTTGCCTGGCTTCTCAGCTCTGGCCCGTCGTCCTCTTCCTGCAGCCACGGTCCTGCTACTGCTGCTGATAGCCTGCAGCTGCTGCTGTGCGCACTGCTGCTGCCCTGAGCAGAGAGACAGGAGGATCCCCGTGCCGCCCGTAAAACCCAGATGAGGGACAACAGCGAATGCCCGGAGAAGCTGACAGGAACCTTCCAGAGCTGTGACACAGGCTACCGTCCTGGCCACCTCACTCCTCCAGACAGGTCACCTGACCTCAGTTCTGGCACTGCCCAGGTGACAGGAGACGCCTGGAGCCTCATCAAGCAGACACCAGTGCTTAGGAGGAGCCACTGCTTCCGAGACTCAGGAGACCACCTAGGTCTTCTGCTAAGCTGTACCCCTAAGGGCCCCACACTCTGAACAGCTCTTAGTTGTGGGGAGCTGGCCCTTGGGGCTCTGCTGACTTAGGCCAAACAGAAGTAAACGAATCAGGAACTTTGTGCAGTTTACTGGACTCCACGCCTCCTGCTGAGGGGGGGAGAACATGTCAGTATTCTAGCTGAAATTTGCTTACTTCCAAGTAAAAGCTTTTTTGGTTATGAGATGTTTGGTTATATGTTTATGCGTAGGCAGGGCTCTGTGCATCAGGAAGACAGTGCCAGAACTCCAGGGGCATGGCCAGTGACTGTTCTTTCCAGGCCACTGCTCTCCATGTACCCACGAAAGCTGGAAAATGGCACTGGGAGGGATGGCACACAGACTTCAACGCCGTGGAACCAACGGAGGGCCACTGGCAACATTCCTGTTTGCATCATCTACTAATCAGTGCTGGCTTCCAGAGTCCCAGTCTGAGGGATGGAGGTCGTTGCCCTAGGACAAGTCCTGAGACTAGGAATGCTACTAGCATTTCCTGCTGTCCCAACTTCCGTCTGTATACCCCACACTAACAGCCTCGGGTCACTGGATCCCCCCACATTTCTTCAGTCCAAGAAAGGTAAGGCCCTGAGTGTTGTCTCTCACACTGTACCCTGACCCTTCGGTCCTGTCCCTGTTTGTGGGCTCACATCTCAGCTGACACTCGCCAGTTTGTGACCCAATCCTCTTAAGCTAGGGTTCCTTCTGCTGAGGTGGATTAATGCTGGCACCGGCTTCCTGGGGTATGCTAGGAGTGTAAAGCAAGATGGCCTAAGTCTAGCACAGGGCTAGACATGCTTTAGAAGCTCCATAGTTGTGAACTGTTATTATTTGCCCCTCTTAACAGGGGCTGACCCAGAGCGCAATGGACCCATTTTAAAGAATGGTGCTGTTGAGATGCTTCCATGCCTCCTTCCCTGCAGGTGACTTCCTTCCAGACACACAGCTACAAACCTAGCCATGGAGGGAGACACAGACACAGAGGTCTCCACACACGTCAACGGGGCCAGGACTGGGCTCTAATTACTCACACTTCTGTCACCTAAGTCTGTGGGAGCAGAGCTCTGCCTACATTGAAAACAGGTCACAGTGAGGGGAAGTCAGCCCCTGCCACCTCTGGCTGGCGACCTGGGCCATACAGGAGGGAGGCCAACAGGAGGGAGGCCAACAGGAGGGAGGCCAACAGGAGGGAGGCCAACAGGAGGGAGGCCAACAGGAGCTCTTGCTGGCTGCTTTGACTACCTGGTATCCACAGACTTGCCTGACAGTTGAGGTTATTGAAGACCAAGAAAGCACATGTTTCCAAACAAAGAAAATAAATCTAAGAATCCACCTGTCCTCAGCCCCTAAAAATTGGGATTCAGAGTCAAACACGCCTTTAATCCTAGCACTCTGAGAGGCAGAGACAGGTGGATCTCTGTGAGTTCTAGGTCAGCCAGAGCTTCATAAGACTCCCTCTCAAGAGGGAGGGCTGGAGAGATGACTCATTGGTTAAGAACACTGGCTCCTCTTCCAGAGGACCCAGGTTCAATTCCCAGCACCTACATGTGTCTGTAACTCCAGATCCAGGGGATCTGACACCCTCACACAGACATACATACAGGCAAAACACCAATCATTGCTGCTTATTATTATTTTTAGGTTTTTGAGGCAGGGTTTCTCTGTGTAGCCCTGGCTGTCCTGGAACTCACTCTGTAGACCAGGCTGGCCTAGAATTCACGAGATCCACCTGCCTCTGCCTCCCAAGTGCTGAGATTAAAGGCATGCACCACCACCACCTGGCTAATCACTGCTTATTTAAAAAAAAAAAAAGAACAAAAAAAACTTTCTCAAAAATAAAAACAAAACAAAAAACCAAACCAACAACAAAACCTGAATGATGATAATAAAGACAGCTAAAATTCTGAGGGCTAGTCCATGCCCTGCTGCCTTCAAAAGATTTCAATGGTGCTGGAAATGAAGGCCAGAAGACTGTGCTCTACCACTGAGCCACATGCCCAGACCCTTGAGGTTGTCTTAAGCTAGGCTCCAATTCACTATGCCCCTGCCTTAGCGTCTGGATTACAGGTAGTGTGCCCAGCTTGTCTTGGGCTTTTTTTTTTTTTTTGGTTTTTCGAGACAGGGTTTCTCTGTGTAGCTTTGCGCCTCTCCTGGAACTCACTTGGTAGCCCAGGCTGGCCTCGAACTCACAGAGATCCGCCTGGCTCTGCCTCCCGAGTGCTGGGATTAAAGGCCACCACCGCCCGGCAGTTTTCTCTTTTTTAAACAATCTCACTGTGGCCCTGGCTGGAACTCATGATGCAGAATACTTTGCACCTAACTCAGGCTGCGTCCTGAGTTACAGGCACAGCCACCATACCCCGCTCTTGTCTTGAGCATTCTGCTACAGATAAGGTCATTTAACCTTCACAAGGCTTCAGTCCTGTAAACATCATTATTAGCCCGGTTGACAGAAGAGGAAGTTCAGTCTTAGTGACACTAGATAATCTGCCCAAGTGCAGCCAGCTAAAATGTGGCAAAGCCAGCTCTGGGTCCAGCCTGTCTGGCTCTGGAGCCTCTGCTTAACCACACCTAGGGCTTGAGGCCTCTGGGACACAAGACAGAGGACACAAGACTCCATTATCTCTATTAACCAACCGTACATGCAAACATCCACACCCAAACTGTGTCTCAAAGTTGCTTCTGTGCGAGTGGGTGGGAAGCTAACAGCCAAGATTAATCTAACACCCAACTATCAGAAGACGACCCCAGGACAGTGGAAGGGACTGGAAATCCCACCTTCTTCACACCCAGCACTGGTGGCTGGAATCCTTGGAAGCCTTCAGTTTAGGAATAGCAGCCCAGTTCCTTCCAGACTGCTCTTTAAAAAGGATTTCATCAGCATCAGGAAGAGCCTTCCTGTAGGGTGGCGAAGATTCCTTCTTTACTAGAAGAAACTCTGGTTCCCAGTTCAGCAGCAGAGCAGTGGGTGCCCTGGACAACCCTGCACACAGCACAGGTAGCCAGCTCGTTAGGCCTTCCTGCCCCATGCTGGGCCAGTCCATCCTATAAGCTAGCCGACAACAGCCTGACATATTCTGGGATGGCAGACCTAGTCCACCTTCACTGGGGAGAAGGCAGATGTCTCCCATGTGGGAAACAGAAAGTCACTGCCGAGCTGGGCTGTCAGAAGAAGACAGCTGGTAACCACAGCTGGTGACCACAGCTGGTGACCACAGCAGCGGCACACCACACAGCAGGCTGCCTCAAGCGTAGGGAAGGTCCAACTTACTGTAGCTACCCTATGCCATTCAAGAACAAGCCATCTCAGCCGGGCGGCAGTGGCACACGCCTTTAATCCCAGCACTCGGGAGGCAGAGCCAGGCGGGTCTCTGTGAGTTCGAGGCCAGCCTGGACTAGAGTGCAATATCCAGGACAGGCACCAAAACTACACAGAGAAACCCTGTCTCGGAAAAAAACAAAAACAAAAACAAAAAAAAACCCAACAAGCCGGGGGCTGGAGAGATGGCTCAGAGGTTAAGAGCACTGACTGCTCTTCCAGAGGTCCTGAGTTCAATTCCCAGCACCCACGTGGAGGTTCACAACCATCTGTAATGAGATCTGGTGCCCTCTTCTGGCCTGTAGGCATACATGCAGGCAGAACACTGTATACATAATAAATAAATAAATCTTAAAAAAAAAAACCAACAAGCCATCTCAGTGTATGGTGGCCACCACAGGTCTCAGCAGCCTCCTCACGGCCTTCCCTCTCACATGGCCTCTATTCTAACAGTGTCTGTTCTCAGTTCCTCAGGAGGATGAGGAGCTGCCCAGTTCACTGCCTGCATTTTATACCTTATTACAAACTAAGAATCATGTCAGCAATACTTGGCAGAACACAGACAAGTTCTGTGAAATGTTAATATTTTCAAAACAATTTATAACAAAAATCACAATGATACAAATGAGTACTACAAATTTCATAGTATAAAATAAGTGCACAAATTAATTTTGTTCTAAAAATGTTTTCCTCCTCTCTGTGCCCTGTTCCATACCATGGAATGCTGTCTCTAACTCTCAAGTCTTTTTTTTTTTAAGATTTGTTTCTGTATGAATGACTGTTTGCCTACATACAAGTAAGTGCACCACATGCTTGCCTCTTTTCTGAGGAGGCCAGAAGAAGGCATCAGATCCTCTGGAACTGGGGTTACAGACTGTTTTAAGCCACTATGGGGCACTGAGAATCGAACCCGGGTTCTCTGGAAAAGCAGCCAGTGCTTGTCTTTACAACTGTCACTTCCTCACAGAGGAACCCCTCAGCACACAGACCATTTGTGCCTGAAGCATCCTCTCCTGTTCTCATCTATTTCCCTCACAGTGACTGAGACACAGATCTATCTACTTGGATACGGCAGTTAATTAAAACTAGACAAAACAACTTTCCCATGAATGACACATTCTCCCTACATATCTGATTTGTTGTTGTTTTGAGACAGGGTCTCACTATATATTTCTGGTTGGCCTGGCATTCACTATGTAGACCAGGCTGGCTTCAAACTCAAGAGACCCACCTGCCTCTACCCCTCGAGTGCTAGAATTAAAGGTATGTGTCACCATGCCTACCAGGACTTTGTTTTTTTTTGGTTTTTGAGACAGGGTTTCTGTGTGACCCTGGCTGTCCTGGAACTCACTTTGTAGACCAGGCTGGCCTCAAACTCAAACTCAGTGTTTGGTGCATTCAGAGGCCAGAAAGAGGTGTTGGATCTCCTGAAACTAGAATTATAGGCAGTTGGGGCACCTGATGTGAGTGCTGGGCACTGAACCAAGGTCTCTTGAAAGAGCAGCAAGTGTTCCAAGCATCTGAACTTCTCTCCAGCCTACATGATCTGAGGTGGAAACAGACAGGCACACCTCTCTGGGTGGGGCTTGGTCTCCAAGGATGGGCTGTGAACTAGCTCAACTCCAGCCTTACCTTGTAGTTTTGGTTTTATCAGAGAGATTTGAACACACCTGAAGAACCTGAGTGTAAAATGTCACCAGAGGGGACAGCAAGATGGTTTAGTGGGTAAAGGCATTTGCCACCAAACCTGAGGGCCTGAATTCAGTAACCGGGAACCCACAAGTTAGAGAACCTATTTCCACAAGTTGTCCACTAATCTCCACACACACACTCCATGGTATATATATATGCATGCACATACACAAGATTAAAAATAAATTAATGTTATGAGTTTTACAAAACATGCCCCAAGTTTAGTTATGTTTGTGCTTCTTTTGATGGGACTCTGGAGTGATATCAAAGTGGCCACCTAGGTATTAATAGAGACAATAGCGTTGTCTGTTCTGAGGTCTAGGGCCTGAGAGCTCAGACTATACAGCTGGCTCCAAACTCCAACTTCACAGCCTGGAGTAAGTTGTTGAACCTCTCTGTGTCTGTTGTCTATCTGTAAAACTGGAGTTGAGGCTATCTTTATGGCTTCATTGGTTTAGACGATGTCACATTTGATTTTGTAATCATAGAAACAAGCACAACTACCATAAACCAGTTTGGGAACAAACACTTGACTCTTGATAAAACCTGATTTAACTGATAAGTCACGAAAGTACCAGGGTGTGCCAGAGACCAGCATGCTGGCTGTGTGCATTTGGCAAGCCAGGAAGTCAGCAAGTTTTACACAAGGAAATGGAAAGCAACAGGTGAGTCATGGGTCAATTCAGCTTTCCTGAACTTGCTCATCACCTGTCAGCCACTCCAGGCTATACCTGAAGAGATGTCCCAGGAGGATGAGAACAACAGATACCCTGGCATTCCAGGGTGATGTAAGTGGGCATTTCTCAAAACTCTCAACAGCATTGATGACCTGTGGGCTACAACATGAGCCTCACTGGAGGGAAAGGCCCATCTCTCTCACCTTATGATGGGATGCAAAGTCTGGCAGTGCCAGGCCCACACGTCTAAGCTTTAAAAGGAATCAACAGTGGCCATGAAGTGTCAAGCAAGGCATGTATGATTAAGTCCCTCCTCTCAGCTATCTAACCAAGGGGTAGGAACCAGACGCATGAAACAGCTGAGGCCATGCCTGAGGCAGGCACGAGAGAGAAAAGCTCCAATGGTGATAAGCACTCCCACCCAGGAACTTGTTCCAGGAGGTTCCTGCCAGAGCTGCAGTTAATCATTCACCCAAACCACAGGAAGGAATGCCTTCCCAAGTAAGCTCCAAGAGATCACATAGACAAGAACTAAAGATCCAGCTGCACATAGGGGAGGTGGACAGGTGGCCTGGGGCACAGACAGTCTCTTCTCTCACCCTAACCCAAGTTTGACTTCTCTCAAGGACAGCTTACAATGCATCCTGAGCATCTCTACAACGCCATCACAAAAGGGCAGAACACTGCTGAAGGGAATGAGGGAGGGAGTGGCAGTTGCTAAGCAACCAGTCGAGCCCACCTTTGTTTGCTCTGTGGCAGCAGCAAAGGTGTAGTCAGAGCTACTTGGCAATGCTCTGGGCTGCCACAGTCATTTCTCTGAGTTGCTGAACAGCTGTGGTCACCTGGCAGCCACTTCCACCCACGAACCCCAAAGTGTGAGGCCTGAAGGACAATCCTGACTCGGCTTTGCCCTCATAAGACACAAACTATTAGCAGAAGAACCAGGTAATGACGTCTTTCTTTTTTCCCTATATTCCTTTCAACTGGCTGCAGCCTATTGACATCAGTATGGCTAGGCTTCCTGCTTCCAGCTGTCTCCAGGACATTGCCTCAACCACACTCTATTCCTCTCCACCACCACCACCCCTTTTTAAAAGATGTGTGTGTGTGTGTGTGTGTGTGTGTGTGTGTGTGTGTGTGTGTGTGTGTTCTCTTCCTATGTGTATGTATGTCCACACCTGCATTCCTGGTACCCTCAGAAGCTAAAAATTGTGTCAGGTGCCCTGGAACTGGCATTATGGATGATTGTGAGCTGCCACATGGGTGCTGGGAACTGAATTTGGGTGAGTAGCCAGTGCTCTTAACTGCTGAGCAGACATCTCTCCAGTCCCACCTGTCTTGTTTTTTTTTTTTTTTGAGACAGGATTTTGCTGTTCCCTGCTGGCCTGGAATTCCTGGGCTCAGGCAGGAATTCAGCCTTCTGAGGGGCTGAGACTCGTGTACCATCATTCCCAGCTGGGCTGCTCACCAGTCTCTCAAAATGCCTCCTAAGCATCTGACAATTGGGACAATAAAAATAGGGGGAGATCTACAGGGGTACATTTTAGGCTCTAGCCAGGAAGGTTTCAGGGGCTGGAGAGACATTTGGCTCATACCAGAGCTGTTCAGGAATGAACCAGAGACTCTCGAGGAAGCCCCTAGCAGCTTCCATAGGAAAGCCTTTAGTGTTGGCTAGCCAAATGTATCCAGCTGTTCAGTGCAACTGCACAGAGGCCCAAGGAGGTGGCTTGGAGAGCAATGCTGGAGACAGGGTGTCGCGGAGTGTTGCGCACAGGTGTGTGGGTTCACTCGGATCCGTGGAAAGAAGACTCAGAGGCATCTTAAGAATGAATCTAGCCTTTCATGGCTGCAAGGGGGCCCAGCCTCTAAGGACTGAAGTACTTTCCCTTCACCCAGGGTATTTTTATTTTCTCTCTATTTACAGTTTAGCCAGTTAATTTCCTTCCATATGCTCAAAACAACCTGGAAGGAGCTCCCAAAGATACAATGCCAAGTGCAGATTCATCGATTTCTCAGGTACCACGGTTTCCAGGTTTCCTGAACCAAGTTTTGCATAGGCCTTTGATCCTTGGGAGACTCTCAGTCAAGATTCACATAGGGCGATAAGAGAAACAAAAGGTGTCTGCTAAACAAAGGATGGATTGGCTAGGTGCTACTCTCTGGAGTCAGGCCAGGTGCAGCTCAGCAGGGATGCAGCCACAAGGCCTTCAGAGCTCTCTGTACTCAGGGTCTCTTGTCTCCTCTCTTCCAGATTTACGTGGGGCCAAATGGTAACCCTAAAGACCATCCAGAATGATGACTTCTGGAACAATCCCTGGGATGTGGGGGGCCTGATAGTGGTTGGCTTATTCACCTCCACATTCCTGTTCTTCATCGTATTTGCCATTGTGTTTGGATTTGTGGAAAAGACTCTGTGCAGAGAGGACTGACCTGACTTCCTGGAGCCTAGAGGGCAGCAGGGAAAGCCGGGCTGACCTGCTCACCCCATACCTGCAGGAGTCTGCGGTCCCTCTGGCTCAAGGAAGAATCTGTGTGAACCACTGGATCTGGCTTAGGGGTTGGTCAAATAGAAAGATGGGAAGGCTGGTCTGATACCATTTCTGGCTCTCCCACCCTGCTACCAGTTGACCCGCTAACACTGTAAGCGCGTGGAGAGGGACTCGCTCTACCTCAAGTGAGAGCAGAAATGGCTAACAAGGCCTTTTATAAGGGTCTCTGCCCAGGCAGCAATTTTGCAAGTCCTCAACAGAGAAGGAGACAAAACATCAGATGAAGTAAAAATTCCTTTCCAAATCCTCTAACCTGAGCTCATTTTCTATGCAGATACGGTTCTCAGAGCTAGCCTCTCTAGCAATCCACAGAAGGCCTGCAAGTCCTCAGGGTCTGCTCTATAGGATCTCAGGAGCTGCTTGACAAGTGCCCCTAGGTTCACAGGGTAACTTCGGTTCCTAAGCTGCTCTGTCTCTCCTGCCTCAAGGCTTCTGCATACATTCCTCCTGACTGGGATAGTCATCACATTCCGTGGCCTGCGGAGTGCTTCCTTGTCCTTCAGATCTCAGCCTAAATCTGTCTTTCTCAAATTTTCCCCGACTGACCCCAGAGACTGGGACGGGGAAATCTGTTACTCTCAGAACAACACTGTACAGGGCTAGGGAGATGGCTCAGCAGTCAAGAGCACTGGCAGCTCTTGCATAGGACACGGGTTCGATCCTCAGCACCCATTTGTAACTCTAGTTCCAGGGAAATTGATACCCTCTTCTGGCCTCTGTGAGCACCAGGCACACATGTGGTGCACAGACATATATGCAGGTAAAACACTCATACACAAAATTTTAAAAAAGAAAAACAAAACCCACCATGTACTTGTTCTTCAAAACCCATTCATAAGCAATTCTATATTTCTGAATACATAATATTTCCCAATGAGACAAGGCCCACACTCAGTGTGCTTGACAGAACGAAAGAGCAAATAAGCACACAGACAGATACACTGTATGATGCTGAGCAGCCGAGCTCCTAAATCCAGAGACCCCACGAGACAATCCTACCCAGGCCAAAGGGAAAGCGCCTCTCCATCCCTAAATGCCCAGCCTGCTATTTTAAGCCTGATGCCTACAAGGTTAAAGGCCCACCAAGTTAAAGGTTAATGACTCGTGCTTCTTCATGTCGCAGCTCTGAGAAAATGGCTACATGGCGGAGACAAGATCAAAACCACTAGTGGTCCCACCCTGGCCACACGAGGAATGGACCTGACTACTTTTTTTGGTGATCCCAAGCCACTGCCCATATCCCACCCTACACACAGCAACCCTACAACAGCTTCCTTTAGAAATGTACCCATGCAGCTGAGCCCACCCTACTGGTCTTATCCCTCCCTGCCAGGTGCCTGCCTTAAGAGATGCTGGTGGGAACAGTGACCTCAACTTCAGCCTCAAGCCAGAACTATTTATTCTTAGAAAAGGAACAACCATCTGTGGTATTGTGTTCCCCCAAATATTGTGCATGCTAAAAAACTTATCTGGAGTCAGAGACAGAGCAGCCACAATATTAAACATAAAGGATAGGCAGTGGTAGCACACGCCTTTAATCCTAGCATTCCAGAGGCAGAAATCCATGTGTTCAAGGATACAGAGAGGCATGGTGACTCATCAGGCCTTTAATCCCAGAAAGCAAGCCTTTAATCCCAGGGAGTGGTGGTAGAAAGCAGAAAGGTATATAAGGCGTGAGGATCAGAAACTAGAAGCATTTGGCTGGTTAAGCATTCAGGTTTTGAGCAGCAGTTCAGCTGAGAGCCATTGGGATGAGGACACAGAAGCTTCCAGTCTGAGGAAACAAGACCAGCTGAGGAGTTGGCCAGGTGAGGTTAGCTGTGGCTTGTTCTGTCTCTCTGATCTTCCAGTGTTCACCCCAATACCTGGCTCAGGTTTGATTTTATTAATAAGAACTTCTAAGATTCCTGCTACAGCCATCTGTTGAAAGGGGCTTCCATCCTTCATGCCAGACACTGCTCACACAGTAACCACTCTCTCATAAAGAGCAGTGGCCAGAAGAGCTGTGCTAGCAAGGTCACCCCACTCTACTGAGACTGGGAACCCTGAGGTCCAGAACCTCACCTGTAGCCAACAAGATAGGAGGGGTGAGGCTGGGCACTGGGGAGGTGGGCAGGGGAACCCCTGGACCTCTTGGCCCCACAGATGTACACTCCCAACTGGCCTGTCAAGGCAGTGAGAAGCCGCAGAGGCCCCTGCAGAGCTGTCCCCTGCCTGGCAGCTTACAGCGCTGCAGTCTCAGACAGGCAGTGGAGGAGACTGACAACCGGCATGAACACTGGGCCTTTCATTCCTCACCATAAAGAGCTCGGCTCACAGAGCCTGAGGAGGCTGAATTTAGCACAGTCATGTACCAGTGGCAGGAAAGGGCTCTGGTGGTATGGCCTTATCCAAGGGTGGGCTGGCACAGCAACCCACCACTTTTTCACATGTGATCCTGCCAGAGGCCAAATTAGAGACGCCATTGCCAGAAGGAAATACTTCAATCTGTGTCACCAACTCATCAGTGAGGAGGGAGAGTGAGAATCCAAATGTCAGATCCAAATAAGCGTACCCCCTCCCATTTTCAGGAGAGCCTAAACACATCTTGTAGACACTAGTACTATGCACTGAATCAGCAGCACTCTGCTTCAAGACAACAGTATTTGGGGCAGGAGGTAGGAGTGCAGCTCCGTGGTAGAGGGTTCAATCCTTAACACCACAAAACCACACATCCCCTCTCCCCCCAAAGACTCCATGACACATGTATGAGATGAGCACATTCACTGTTGATAATCAAGGAGCCCAAGTTTAGTAGCTTCTATCATGAGTTTTGTGACCACGACCCTTCTGGGCTTGGCTTATTTCATCTCTAATTCTGAGGCAATCACTTCTGTTCATCAGCTCTCGGTTTTCCACGGAGATGAATAAACGTGGTTTTCGACATAGACTAACTCCTCTTGGGCATCCTTCACACAGGATTCTACTGACTACATGCCCAGTCACAACTTGTCTCTTTCTATGGCTGGCCCATAGGTCCTGCCCCATGGCCACAGATGTAGACAGTAGGCTCCACATAAGCAGGCTAGTGTTCTGTCAGAAGAGCTGATTTATCCGAAGCATGTGACACTCGCCACCACTCCCACCAGATATGAGTGGGCCCGAAGCTTCTGTCGGGGCTCTGTGTAAGAGTGAGACCATCAGGTGGGGCGACTCGTGCCTGTAATCAGAACACCTGGAGGTGGAGGCAGTCAGGCTAACCAGGAGTCAAAGGTCAGCCTCTGACACATGGCAAGCCGGGGGCCAGCCTAGGTGACACGAGACCCATCTCAGAAGCAAACAAAGCAGCGTGGGTGACTCACACACAGTCAGGGAGGGAGCCAGTTCAGTGACAAGAGCCGGCCACATTACTCTGGAGTGAACTGCTCACAGAGTCAGTCAACCATCCAGGAAGTAGGCAGAGGAGTGGACGACTACCCAATGTGGAACAAATCCTCACACATGAGAGCTAGAGTTTCAGTGGCCTCCAGAAGTAAAAAGGAAGGGTCCTGACTTCCACACTGCTTGAAATATGAGCTTTGCAAGCCAGGGACCCTCGGTGGCCCAAGAGCTAGCTTGTACTAGCTGGTAAAGTAATGGTTGCTGGGACAGGAGGGGCTCTGACAAGTCCACACCCAACATAAGTCACTGGCCATTTTTTCCCTTTGAGGAGCAGGGAGGCAATGCAGGGATTCATCACAGGTCCTGCACCTGCCGCACAAAGGCTCCACCCCAAGCTGCATCGCATTCCTAGCCCCACTCACCCCAGTTCTTCGCAGAAGGTCACCAGGGCATCAAAGGCCAGCAGGGCAGCTTTATCAGACGCTTTGCTCCCTCGCTTTTCCTGCAGAGAGAAAAGGCCCACTTAGTCCTCCATGTGCTTCACAGTAAGAAGTGAGGGGGAGAACATGAAAGGACAGCAAGGAAGCCATTCACCAAGCAGTGCCCCTCGGCCCGGCCCTAGGTCTCTTGATGTATCAGCATCTCCACTACTGAGTCGAACTTTCTGGGAAGGGAGCTTTTGAGAGCTGCCATTTCCAAAAAAGATGACGACCCCCCCCCCCCCCCCCCGAAAAAAAGTGATTCTCATGCAAAGAGCCCTGGACTGACATTTGGGAAACTATGATTCTATCCAAGTTCTAAACAGTAAATACAAGCTTTGAGTCCTTACATATATATGTGTATATACGCTAACGTACAGACCAGAACATACAACTCTCAGCCCTGGGCAGATAAGATTGTGTATTATTGACCCTTTTTATATCATTGCCAAAAGTTTCTTTAAAAAAAAAAAAAATCACTGGGTGGTGGTGGCACAAGCCTTTAATCCCAGCACTCGGGAGGCAGATCTCTGTAAGGCCAACCTGGTCTACAAAGCCAGTTCCAGGACAGCCAGAGCTGTTACACAGAGAAACCCTGTCCCCACAAAAAAAAGGTCAATTTAGGGTCAGTGAGCTAGCTTGCTGGATAGGCACTTGTACTAAGCTGATGATCTGAACTCGGGACCCACATGGTGGGTAGACCATACTGGCCATGAACTCACAGAGATCCACCTGCTCTACCTCCTGAGTGCTGGGGTTAAAGGCGTGTGCTACCACCGCTCGGCTTGTTAATTTTTTTTTTTAAATTTATTTATTTATTAAGTATACAGTGTTCTGTCTGCACGTATCCCTGCAGGCCAGAAGAGGGCACCAGATTTCATTACAGATGGTTGTGAGCCACCATGTGGTTACTGGGAATTGAACTCAGGACCTCTGGAAGAGCAAGCAGTGCTCTTAACCTCTGAGCTATCTCTCCAGCCCCTTGTTAATGTTTTTTAAAAGAATGTTAGCTAGGGATCTAGCATAGTGACACAGTACTTGCCTAGCATGTATGAACCTGGGTTCAAACCTTAGTAATACTGATTATGTATTTATGTGCAGCGCTAGGGATTAATTTGGGCTTCACCCATGCATGTTAGGCAAGAGTTCTACCACAGAGCTATACTGCAAGCCCCAACTTGCAATTTCTTGTGATAGCGGTCTTTTCCTCACATGACTATGTCAACACAGTTCCAAGCTGAACCACACGATTACAATTTGACATGTGCCATGTTCACATTTCCTTTTTGTACAGCATTGTTTCCTCTGAAAACAGCGGCTTCTCCCTGCCCCGACTTCTTTAGATTTCAGTGTGTCACTAATTCACCCCTAAATGCTCTGACATAACAAAGAATTCATTTTCACAGGGCCCAAGAGATCAGTCAATTTGATTTCTGAAAACCTCCTTGAGCCTTCTGCTCCCAGCGGATCTATGATTCTGCTCCAAGCCAGTACCCATCTCTCCTTCTGGCTTTCCTCACTCTGGCATGGCACAGATGCCTGTTTGCTTGCTTAACTTTTCTTACGTCTATGAGTGCTTTGCCTGTGTGTGTGTATGTCTGTGCACCACATGCATTCCTAGTGCCCCTGGAGGCCAGAAAAGGGCATCCGATTCCCTGGAGGTGGAGTTAGAGATGGCTGTGAGTGCCATATGGGTGCTGGATTTTGGACCTGGGTCTTCTGCAAGAGCAGCAAGTGCCCTTAACTACTGAGCCATCTCTTCAGCCCCAGGTTTTTGTATGTACTTTTTGTGTACATTTTAAAAGATTTGTCTATATGTATGAGTGCTGCTTTTGTTTTGTTTTTTTGTTTGTTTGTTTTTTTTTTTTTTTTTTTTGGTTTTTCGAGACAGGGTTTCTCTGTGTAGCTTTGTGCCTTTCCTGTAACTCACTTGGTAGACCAGGCTGGCCTTGAACTCACAGAGATCCGCCTGGCTCTGCCTCCCGAGTGCTGGGATTAAAGGCGTGCGCCACCACCGCCCGGCTTGTTTTTGTTTTTAATGAGTGTGGATGTTTTACCCTCATTTATTCCCGTGTACTATGTGCATGAAGTGCCCAAAGAGACCAGAAGAGGGCGCTGAACTCCTTGAGACTGAAGTCACTGAGCCATCTCATCCCAGGTTTGGTTTTTTAATGAAGTCTTTTGTTTTTTAATGAAGTCACTGAAGCCCCTCACCCCAGGTTTTGTTTTTAATGAAGTCTTGATGAAGTCCACTCTTAATGTGGATTGGGGTTTCCAGGCACATTTGCCTTTTCTTTTTCTGTTTTTGCTTTGTTTTGTTTTTTTGAGATACAGTTTCATTCTATCTTCTAGACTGGCCTTGAACTCACTATGCATCCCAGGCTAGCCTAAAAATTATAGCTAGCAATCTCCTGCCTCAGCCTCCTGAGTGCTAGGACTGTCACTACACCACTAGTTGACATTTCTACTTGCTGCTGTCCTCTCCCGTTCTCCTTACCTTTGTAAGTTTATTTTTTTATTCCTTTACTGTCACTTGGGTGGGGATCAGAAATAACTGTGTTCAGTTTGCAACATTTATTTGTGTGTGCGCACACGCACATGAGTGAGTGTAGACAGGGCACATGAGTGAGTGTAGACAGGGCACATGAGTGAGTGTAGACAGGTGCCTATGGAGAAGTTGCAGGTGCCTCTGAGCCGCCTGACGCGGGTGCTGAGGTGAGAACTCAAGTCCTCTGCAAGAGCAGCGAGGACTCCTAACCATCAAGCCAACTCTCCAGCCCCCCTTTCTTTTCTTTTTAAAAATTACCATCTATTCATTAGAAAAAATGACAAGTTGGCGACATTTTCGTACACATGTGCCATGTACTATGGCAGAGGCCAGTGTTGACAGCCTCCTCTATCACTCTTGTTTATCGGCTAGACTGGCTGGGGCCTGGTACAAGTAGCATTTTTTTTTTTAAGATTTATTTATTTATTATGTATACAGAAGAGGGCGCAGATCTCACTACAAGATGGTTGTGAGCCACCATGTGGTTGCTGGGAATTGAACTCAGGACCTCTGGAAGAGCAGTCGGTGCTCTCAACCTCTGAGCCCCCTCTCCAGCCCACAAGTAGCATCTTATTACCATCTTACTTCTCTCGGCTGCCGGAGTGTGAGTACGCACCACGCTATCAGGCTTGGCTTGTTGTTTTATCTGCTTGTTTCTTTACTGTGGTGCTGGGCACTGAACTTGGCCTCACAATGTGCGTTATGAGCTCTATCACTGAGCTACCCCAGCCCTTTGGGTTTTTGAGACAAGGTTTTGCTATGAAGCCTAGGTAGACCTGGAACTGGAACTCACTCTGTAACTTTGGTTGGCCTTGACTTTGAATCTCTCTGCCTCTGCCTCTTGAGCTCAGAATTACAGAGGTTCACCATCATGCCCAGCTGGTTTTTGCTTTTAAAAATCTTGAATTATGGACTGACAAGATGGCTTAGCAGATAGATGTGATCTGACTGCTATCAAAGCTGCTAAACTGAGATTGATCCCAGCACCTAAGTGGTGGAGGGAGAGAACTGACTCCTGTAAGTTGTCCTCTGACTTCCAGATGTGTACAGTGTTGTTTCCACCACACTCAAGCATGTAAATTAAAAAAAAAAAAAAATCGCCAGGCATGGTGGCACAATCCCAGCCTTAAATCTGAGTGCCTTAAATCCCAGCACTCAGGAGGCAGAGGCAGGTAGATGTCTTGAGTTCGAGGCCAGTCTGGTCTATAGAGTGAGTTTCAGGACAGCCAAGGGCTTTACACAGAGAAACCCTGTCTTGGAAAAACAAACAAACAAACAAACAAATAATCAAGATGATCTTTCTTCTCTCAAGAACATAAACTATTTTACCCTTAATTATGCAGTTTTTTGAAGTACCAACCCATCTGAAATTCATACACCTATCACGCAGGAACCTAATTTTATCTTTTCTTCCAGCACTGACTACTCAAGTCTCTCCTTTTCCTGGTGACCTGCAATGTACCTATAAATAATTGGATAACCAGTAAAAAAATTAAGTGGTTAAAGAAAAAAACAGCCGGGCGGTGGTGGCGCACGCCTTTAATCCCAGCACTCGGGAGGCAGAGCCAGGCGGATCTCTGTGAGTTCGAGGCCAGCCTGGTCTCCAAAGCGAGTTCCAGGAAAGGCGCAAAGCTACACAGAGAAACCCTGTCTCGAAAAACCAAAAAAAAAAAAAAAAAAAAAAAGAAAAAAAAAAAGAAAAAAACAGAGAACATGGGAAAATACTTATGTAACAAAGCTCACTAAAACAAGGCAAGAATGATTTTATTTACATGTACAAGATGGTATTCAGGTAAGCTAAATGTTGACAAAGAGAAGTCTAGCCCAGCTTGTCACCAGCAGCCTGCTCACCCTACATACCATTTCCCCTTGGGTATGCTTTCGAGGCCAAGACCCCCCCTCTAGTTTACAGAAGCTCTCTCTGGGCTCAGTATGAGCTATAGGAAATGGAGTAGTAGGTTCAGACAAGGCGTCTACTGCCCAGGACTTACCTGGAGTTTGGCTATTTCCTTTCTGATGAGGAAGCTGACTTGGTCTCTGTCATTCCTAGAGTAATAGAGACGGCACCAAGATGGTTTCCCATCCCTACCAGCACGGCCAGACTCCTGGTAGTAGCCAGCCATGGACTTGGCAATATTCCAATGGGCAACAAACCTGTATGATACAAAAGGACACAATACATGATGGGAGAGCTGAGTGCTCCATGGAGGGTGATCCTGTCAGGAAAATAGCTTACTCCCTGGTGGCCAGGTACAGGGAACTAACACACAAGAGACAGATCACAGACTATGTCAGAGTTGGCTGGGTTGATATCAGAGGTGGCCCTGATAGCAACAGCCTCTCTGCCATAGAGCAGCCCAACCTAGAGGCCACAGCATGAATTATGGGAGAAATTCTAGTAAACATGGTAAAAAAAAAAACAACCCAGACTCAACCACAAGGACTGAAGGGATGGCTCAATGGTCATGAGCACTGGCTGCTCTTCTAGAGACCAGGGAGTAAATCCCATCACCCATGTGGCAGCTCACAACCTTCTCTAACTCCAGGTACAGGGGATCCAATCCCTTCTTGTGGCTTCTGCAGGCACCAGGCACACCAGTGGTGCACACACACATGCAGGCAAAATACCTATACACATAAAATAAAAACAAAAACAAAAACCCTTAAAGCCAGAGACCAGAATAAATACCAGACTGAAGAACAGGCTGGGCAAACTATGTTGGCGCACTCCTTTAATCCCCGCACTTGGGAGACAGAGGCAGGTGGATATCCAAGTTGAAGGCCAGCCTGGTCTACAGAGCAAGTTCCAGGACAGCCAGGGCTACACAGAGAAGCCCTGTCTTGAAAAACAAAAATAAACAAACAAACAAAAAAAGAATATGCTGGGCATGTTGGTGCATACCTTTAACCAGAGCACCTAGGAGGCAAAGGCAGGTGCATCTGAGAGTTTGAAGCCAGCCTGGTCTGGTCTATATAGGGAGTTCCAGGCTAGCTAGGACTACACAGTTAGACCCTGTCTCCATAAATAAAGATCAGAGGCTGGAGGATAGCTCAGCAGTTAAGAACTGTACTGCTCTTGTAGAGGATCCCAGGTTTAATTATTAGCACCCATGTTGAGTGGCTCACAACAACCTATAACTCCAGCTCCAGATTTGACAGATTTATGGGTACTGTGCGCGCGCGCGCGCGCGCGCGCGCGCACACACACACACACACACACACACACACAGTAAGTAAGTCCAAAAAACTTGTTATTTATGAATTGCATGCCCTGTTCTATACCCTCTTTGAAGATGGAGGGGAACATATTAAACGTCCCCTGAGCATCAGTTACTACATTTGTTGCATTTGTTAGTCACCGTCATGTGAGCTGGACTACTCTAGAGATGATAAAGGAAACTGGAGAGGCAACTGTATGAGAACAGCTAGGACTGGAGCCTAAGGGTGTCTGACCTCCAAGTCGGCTTCTAACAAGTCACAGCAGACCAGGACTCAACCCCTAATTCCATAGTCCGTGTTTTTTCAAATGTACAATTCCAGTTAGTACAGTGACTTATTCCCAGCCGGTGACACAGACTTAATGGCATGTACGTAGAAGTGCTCTGTAAATATACAGACATTGCTGTTGGTGTCAGGACAAAGGACTTCAGGCAGCAATCCGTACGTTTTTCCAAAGTCGGACCATGGTGGGAAGTAAAACCTTTCCCAGAGTTGCCAGAGTGAGACTTGAGGCTAGGATAAACCTAGCTCTTCTAGACTGTCAGTGAACAGTAACTAGGATGTAAGTAATAAGATCTTCACCTTTGACTCCCACAGGGAAAAGGCTGAAATAGTTACTTGCTCTAGCCCCCCTAAAGTTCTACCTGAAAGATGGATGTGAACCAGATTGTTAATGGACAACCTGATAGCATACTGCCAAGTTCCCTGGGTTGGAGAACCATGCCACCCAGACACTGTCAGCATTCGGGCTGTATACTAGGAATTCCCCTGGCGGCCTCCCTCCTCAGTGACACTAGACAAGTATATGGACTTGGGACTTTGTACACAGCACTAGGCAATCTACTATAAGCCAAGCCCCAACTGGGAACATAAGATAAGAACCAGAACTTACCGGACATTAGCTTTGTCCACTCCCATCCCAAAACTGATAGTTGCAACAATTACAGGGACCTTCTCCTCCATCCATTCATTCTGTACCTGTGTTCTATCAGAAGCCTTCAGCCCTGGAAAGGAGGGGAAAGTGTCAAGGAAAATTCACACTTCCTTTGGGTTTATCTTCAGGGTGTGGGAAGTTTTTGATACTGTCCTGCACACTTAACCTACACCCTGAATCCATCACTTCTTGTCCATATGACCACAGGCCAGGCACTGAACCTCATAGAACCTGAACTAGCCAGCCAGGCACGGTGGCATGGTGGCACGCACCTTTAATCCCAGTACTTGGGAGGTAGAGACAGGAGGAGCTCTGAGTTCAAAGCCTGGTCTCCACAGTGAGTTCCAGGACAGATAGAGATACATAGTGAGACCCTGCTTCAAAAAACCCAAAATAAATAACTTAACTCAAGAGTGGCACAGAATATTTAGTAAACAGGAGAGCCAAGAACTTAAGTCCACAGGTCTCCAAAGTCTGTGGTCCTTTTTTATAATACCCGGGCCCACAAAAAACTATCACCTCGGGTTGGAGAGACGGCCCAACAGTTAAGAGCCAGCCATCTTTCTAGAGGACCAGGGTTCGATTCCCAGCACCCACATGGCAGCTCACAACCATCTGTAATTCCAATTCCAAGGGATCCAATGTCATCCTCTGGTTTCTGTGGGCACTAGGCATGCGAGTGGTACACAGACAAGCTTGCAGGTAAAACACCCACACACATAAAAACAAAAGCTCCTTGTCTGCTGCTAGGTAGGCACAGGACAGAAGAAAGAATTCTGGAGTCACGATGTTCTAGATTCCTTTTAGTGGACTGAAGTGAATCACTTTAGCTCCACATGAGTATCTAGAAATAGGTAACAGCCGGGCGGTGGTGTCGCATGCCTTTAATCCCAGCACTCGGGAGGCAGAGGCAGGCGGATCTCTGTGAGTTCGAGGCCAGCCTGGACTACAGAGTGAGTTCCAGGACTACACAGAGAAACCCTGTCTCGAAAAAACCAAAAAAAAAAAAAAAAAAAAAAAGAAATAGGTAACAGACCACCCTGCTAGTCAGGATCCATAAGGAACAGATGGTATGCTAAGAAGCACACAATAGTGAAGAGGACCAAGAGATCTGGCACCACTTACCTGCGTGGTAAGCCTTGGCGTTCACACCCCTGCTGCTGAGCTCTATGGCCAGTTGTTCACAAGCCTCTCTAGTCCTGCAGTAGACAATGCCGCAGCCAGATAACAACTGAACAGGAAGAGGTAGGAAGATAACAGTCAGGGAAGGACGAGACAACCAAACCACTCAGGAGAGCACAGCCTGCTTTAAAGCCCCACACTCTCTCTCACCAACGTCCCAGTCTTCTCTTAGACTGAACAGCTGACAGGGATCATCACTTTTAAAAAAGCAGGGCCAATCCTGGCATAGTGGTGCATGCCTTTAATCCCAGCAATAGGGACCAGGCAAACCTCTGAGTTCAAAGCCAATCTGATCTACATTAGGGGGACCCAAGATATCAAAGGCTACATCGTGAGATCCAACATCAAAAAAAAAAAAAAGAGGGACCAAAGCGAAAATCCAAAATCCAGCCTTTCTAACTCCGTGGCTTCCTCTCTGAAAACCCCCGTGTAGGCCTACCAAACATACAAGGACTGTTCACCTGCCTCCCACGGTAGGATCTGGGACCAGAGAATCCCAGTGAGGAGGGTAAATGCTAAGTTTAAAAAAGGGAAAAACTCTCTTGGTACACAGGTTTTAAGGAGCCTAGCTAAGATAACTAGAAAAACAAAGGGCTTTGAAAAGAGTAGACAGACAGCACGTTAGCCTCCCCACCCCAGTACCTCACCCCTTTATCAGCCTTCTGTCCCAGAGCCTTAAGGCAGAAGTCCCTCAGATTCCCATAGAGGTCGGAAATGAGTTCCTTGAACTGCACATCATAGAAGAGGTTAGCCCGGAAGCAGGGAGTCTTGAAAGAGGCTACTGGTTGCTTCAAGTGTAGGGCAGCAAACACATCCTCTTGAACTTGTGGGGTGGCTGTAGCAGTCAGAGCCACACAAGGGGCATGTGCCAGGCGGGAACGTAGGGCACCCAGTCGCAAATAGTCAGGACGGAAGTCATGTCCCCACTGGGAAACACAATGAGCTTCATCCACCACCAAGTAGGAGAGCAGGTTCCGGGACATGAGGGAATTCAGGGTGGGCTGGAAGGAGGCTGAAGCTGCCATCTCCGGGGTGATGTACAAAAGTTTGGTCCGAGGTTTGTCCCGCTCCAGGTCAGACAGCAACTCCTTCCTCTCCTGGACTGACAGCTTTGAGTTCAGGGAACCAACTCGTACCTTCAAGGCCAGCAGGTGGTCTACCTGGTCCTGAGAGTAGAGGACATACACAGGAGAAGATCATTAGTCCTCAGGGCCTGGCAAGAAGCACAACAGCATCTCAACCGTGGAACATGGAGCAGCCCTCCTCCTGCATTCCAACATGTCTTCTCTTTGCTCAGAAGACTGGATAGACAGATGGATGGGAGGACAAGCTCTGGAGTCAGGAAAACCTAGATCTACTGCTGGCTCACTTAACTGTCATATACTCTTTGATACTCAGTTCATTCCCCTTCACCTTCCCCTCACTCCCACCACAATAACTACACAATAGGATTGTGACCAGAGTTCAATGAAACTGCTCCTCAAAGGTGACATGGTGGCATGTGCCTGTAATCTCAGCACTTCAGATGTAGAACCAAGAGGATCAGGAGTCTGAGGCTAGCCCCACCTACATGTTAAGTTTGAGGCCAGCCCAGGCTATAGGAGACCCTGCCTCAAAAGATAAAAAAAGAAAGAATGAGGCCAGGTGTGGTACCACATGCCTTTAAATTCAGGAGGCAGAGGCTGGAAGTTTTTTGAGTTTGAGGCCAGCCTGGTCTACATAATGAGTTTCGGGACAGCCAGGGCTACACAGAGAAACCCTGTCTTGAAAATAAAGAGGGAGCCGGGCGGTGGTGGCACACGCCTTTAATCCCAGCACTCGGGAGGCAGAGCCAGGCGGATCTCTGTGAGTTCGAGGCCAGCCTGGACTACCAAGTGAGTTCCAGGAAAGGCGCAAAGCTACACAGAGAAACCCTGTCTCGAAAAACCAAAAAAAAAAAAAAAAAAAAAAGAAAATAAAGAGGGAAAAAAGAAAAGAGTGAGTGAAATGGATGCACACAAAGATCTCGGCACAAAGCCTTGATGTAGTGAACATCCGTTAAGTATTAGTGCCACTCTCCATTTCTCTACCCATGTGGTCGATGGCTCTTAACCCATGGCTGTGCTTCCTCAATTCTACCAGCCCACCTGCAGGCACTAAATATAGTCAGAACATCTGCAGAGCAGATACTAACAAAAGTTTCAGTTTCTCTCCATTTTTTTCTGTTGTACATTCCTGTATCTGTGCCAAAATAAAATCTAACACCAGAACTCCCCTATATCAATTTAAAAAAAATAATTTACTTATTTTAATTTTATGTGCATTGGTGTTTTGCCTACATGTATGTCTGTGTGAGGGTGCTGGATCCCTGGGACTGGAGTGACAATTGTGAACTGCCATGTGTTGCTGGGCATTGAACTCTGGTCCTCAGGCAATGCTCTTAACCTCTGAGCCATCCCTTCAGGCCCCCATATCAATTTATTGATCTATCCATATGTATCTTCTTTCCTGTTATGAATACACATAGGAGAGGGAATGTATGCATGCATAGGTAACGGTTGATTACTTTTTTGGACAATGAAAAATAGGAGGAAGGAACCTCAAGCCAGAATTAGCAGCACACACCTTTAATCCCAGCACTCAAGGGACACAGGCAGGAGGATCTCTGTGAGTTCAAGGCTAGCTTATATATGAACTCAAGGTCAGCCAGGGCTGCACATTAATACCCTGTCTCAAAAAAAGAAAAACAAGCCAGGCGGTGGTGGCGCACGCCTTTAATCCCAGCACTCGGGAGGCAGAGCCAGGCGGATCTTTGTGAGTTCGAGGCCAGCCTGGGCTACCAAGTGAGTTCCAAGAAAAGGCGCAAAGCTACACAGAGAAACCCTGTCTCGAAAAACCAAAAAAAACAAAAAAAAAACAAGAAAAACAAAACAATGACAACAACAACAACAAAATCAAAGGCATTGTGACTCAGCACAATGATATGCACTAGTGGAGAACCCCACATTTGGGCAATAGAGAAACTCAGTATATTTACCTAGGCAAATCAGAGAAAAGAAGCAAAGACCAAATAAGAAGTGAAACTTCTTTAATTGTGTGTGTCTTTTGCCTGAATGTATGTCTGTGTACCACATGAGTGTCTGGTGCCTGAGGAGGTGGTAAGCATCCATGTGGATCCTGGGAATTGAACCCTGGTCCTTTACAAGAACAAGTGCTCTTAACCACTGAGCCAACTCTCTGGCCCAAGAAGTAAAATTTCTAGCTATAAAATCCCTTCTTTTCAAGGTGTGTCTGGTGGCACACACATATAATTCTAACACTCATGAGGTAAGGTGGCAGGAATGGAAGTTCAAAGGTAGCCTAGGCTTAAAACAACAAAACAAATGGCAGCAAGACGGAGTTACAGGTAATGGCGTTTGCTGCCAATCATGACAGTCTGAGTTTCATCTCCTGTATCCATAAGGTGAAAGGAAGACACCCAAGATAAATATAATGTAGCAAAAATGTTTAAAAAAAACACGTATGATACCAAAAAAAAAAAAAAAAAAAGCCGGGCGGTGGTGGCGCACGCCTTTAATCCCAGCACTGGGGAGGCAGAGGCAGGGGGATCTCTGTGAGTTCGAGGCCAGCCTGTTCTCCAAAGCAAGTTCCAAGAAAGGCGCAAAACTACACAGAGAAACCCTGTCTTGAAAAACCAAAAAAACCCACGTATGACATAAAAGTAAAATTAGGTAGGGGACACAGAGAACTAACAAGAGGGAGGGCAAGAAAAGGGTGGGGAGTATATTCAACATGCAGTGCATGTTTATCTGAGGCAGGGGAGTAAGGGAAGGGAATATAGTCAACATGGAGTGCATGCTTATCTGAAAACTGAACCAAAAAGTGATCACAATGAACAAGCAAAACATTCCTTTCCTCGTGAAAAAACCTCTTTCTTGGTTTTCCTGTTCATTTCCCCAAGACTCACCTGAATCAAAGCAATGAGAGGAGAGACTACAATGGTGATCCCTTTGGCCAACAGGGCAGGGAGCTGATAACAGAGAGACTTCCCTGCCCCTGTGGGCATGCACACAAAAACATCCTTGTCCCCTGCAAAGATAAGAGAACATTTCAATATATCCTGCTTGCTTTTACATGAAGTCTGTTAAGAAATAATTTTTTTTTTAAGAAGTGTATTCATCAATAGATGGCTACTGGTAGGGGTGGGGTGGGGAAGGACTCATTTTTCTTTAAGGGGCTGGCCACTCAAAGTTTGACAATGCTCCAGTGACTATTTGAACAACACAAGCTAGACTTTTCTTTCTTTCTTTTCTTTCTTTTTTTTTCCGGGGAGACTACAAAGATGGGGGGGCAGACTTGGAAGACTGGGAAGTAAGGGTAATCAGATACATTTTGTGAAATTCCCAAATAACCAATCAAAATATTAAAATAAAAAAGGAGTGTTCACTATGTGACCATGGCTGGTGTGGAACCTGGTGTGGTCTGAGCTGGCTTGGAACTTACATGATCCTCCTAACTCTGCTTCCCAAATGCTGGGTTACAGGCCTGGACAGCAAAGCCTGGCCCTGGTGAGTGTAAATCAAATGAAAATGTAAAAAAGTACTTTGCTGAGTGTCTACACGTGGGACTGTCTCAGTATAACATTTATTCCCTTCCCTGCCCTTTCTTTAAAAGGAGCAAGGACCTTGGGGAGACCTAGACATTCAGACAAACTGCTTCTAATAATGGTACCGTGATGGCTAAAGAAACTTCATTTTGTGCTAGGCATCCATCTTGGTACTTAACAGCCGTTAAGTTCCTGGAAGGTAAGTTCCCAGCAACCCTGACTCCTTGACTCCCACCCAGAAATGTAAGCTGTGGCCATCTGCTTGTTATGATGACTAACTGCTGATTTGGCTTCTCTAACTTGTTTATGCAGACATTCAAGGACTATGTTGAGGTCACCCTGACCATCTAATCTTGGCAGAGCATAAAAGCTCCTGTGGATTTTGCCTTTAACAGCCCTTCCTTCATCCACCTCTAGGTGGCAAGTCTCTGATTTAGGTTAGAGATTGTGGCTCTGTTAGCAGTTTTAATAAATTTGGCTAATTACAATCTAAATTGAGCCTGAGGGTCTTTTCTTGGTGGTCTCGAACTCCATAACAGTACTAAAAACAATGGTCTACAAAGTGTCCAGGACATCCAAGGCTACACAGAGAAACCCTGTCTCAAAAAAATAAAATAAAATAAAAATAAAAAAATTTAAAAAAAAAAAAGGAAGGAAGGAAGCAAGCAAGGAAGGAAGGAAGGAAGGAAGGATGCATGCATTCGGGAGGTAGAGGAAAATAGATCTCTGCAAGTTTGAGGCCAGCCTGGTCTACAGAGCTAGTTCTAGCACAGCTAAGCAGCCAAGGCTACAAGTGAGAACCGGTTTCCAAAAGTGAATGAGAAAAAAAAAGGATTAAGTAGTCTTCAGTTGCTGAGATATGAGTGTTTGGATTAAACAGTCAGGAAAGCAGAATATTGGGCACACCTGTGTAGATATGCAAGACTATTTATCTGTTTATAAACATAGCACGCCTTTAATCCCAGGACTCAGGAGGCAGAGGCGGGCGGGTCTAAATTCAAAGCCTGCCTGGTCTACATAGCAAGTTCTAGGACAGCCAAGGCTACACAGAAAAACCCTATCTTGAAAAAAATGCATTAATATAACACTACTGCTCCTACCTGGACAACCTCAGTCTCCCCCCCCCCCCCCCCAATCTCCAGCTTACAGTGTTATCGTTCTCTCCTCAATCTGGAACTCAAGCTACTCAACCTTCAGTGAGAGGATTACCTAGGTCGACAAGTATAGTCATTCCTGCCACTCTTGCTACTACCTACATACAAACAAGAACTGGCGTCTAGGAACAGACTTCAAAGACAATCTGTAGGTCCGGCTATGAAAAACAAAAAACAAAAAACCCAGAACAAGTGTGGGTGGTTCTGCCATTAAAACTCCAAGTCTGTAGTCAGGATGGCCCACAACTGTAATTCCAGTACTTAGTAATCCAGAGGCAGAAGGATCGGCTCAAATTTGAGGCCAGTCAAATGTACACAGGGAGTTACTGGCCAGCCAGGGCTACATAGACTGTGAATAAATAAATACAAATAAATAGAAACCTATCAGCAATAAACATCCCCTATCTTTGGTTGTGAAAGATTTCCAAACCAGTAACGGATCAAGGGTGAGGAGGTGGGAAGAAGAGTCAAGAGAGGGTGTTGTGTTTGGTACAGTGCTACAACGGTACAACCAGCAGTCTGCAATTCAGGATGTTACCTTTCACTACAGCCATGGTCGCACTCTCTTGTAAAGGTGTTTTAAAAGAATCAAATCCAAAGACTTTCTTCAGGGTGCTCCGGACTCGCCGCTCCCGGTCGAAGGGAGTGGAGAAAGGGTGGGCGCTCATCTTAGCAAAAAGCAGCAGCCAAAGGTTAACGCAAAGGTGGTCAAGGGTTGTCACGAAAATGCTCCGTTCCACTTTAAAATATAGCCGATGTTCCTCCTGTCATTATAACCTATGTTACACTTAAACATATCATTCTCATGCAGTAAAACTAAAGGTTGAGTTGCTTCACGCAACATATTCCTGGGGGATTAACATTGCTTCTCCCTTAATGAAAACAAAACAAAAACAAACAAAAACACTGAACTATCCCAGGCCAGTAGAACAGACCTAGAAACTGGACCACAACATAAGCCCACAAACGTCTTCAAAACCGCCAGGAGAACTTGGAATCCTTTTCCTAAGGTCCTTGTTCTAGAAGCAAAGCCATAGCGACCATTCTTCCCCTCCAGGAGACCGCCCCCCACCCCCACCTTCCTTCTTCTTCCTCTGAGCCCCCAAGTCAACAGCTTTCGCCCTTCACCATCGAGTGCTCCCCCAAAATATCAGAGCCCAGGCTCTTTTCGGCAGGCTCTGCTGCTTTTCAATGAACACTACACGCTAATTCAAACTCAGAAGCCAACTCGCTCCAGAAGTCAGTGAAGTAAAAGCCGCAAAACCTTACTTCCGTCCCGTGCTGATGACGTTTCCAAGCGTCGGGCCTAGGGGGCGGGGTCATACCAGACATGGCTGTTTTGATTGGTTTTCATTCTGGCGCGGCGTCTCCTGGGATCCGGAAGAAGTTGGTTTTCCCGTACAGAAATCGGCTTGTGAGTCATAGGCGTGAGCCACACGGCCCTGTGGGAATAAGATGGCGGGGAAGAAGAATGTTTTGTCGTCTCTTGCGGTTTATGCGGAAGATTCAGAGCCTGAATCTGATGGCGAAGCTGGAGTCGACGCTGTGGGCGGCGCGGCTGGTGAGGCTTGAGCTGGAAAGGGGGATCGGAGTCTGTTACGGTTAAAAATGCTGCTTCTCTAGCGGAGTTTGAGGGGAAGAGATACTCATTGTGCTCCAGGTGTCGGATCCTGGAACCCCAGAGCACAGTCGACGTACTAGGGCAGACAGAACATTAGAACCTCTAGTACGAATGATCTCCCTTTCTGCGAACCTCTGCCAGGCATCGTGCTGGCCTGAGGATGGACCAAGGGGTGCCACATTACTGTCTAGTCCTACTCTCGTTGTTTAATGGGGAGAGAGAGTAGTAAAGTGTACCTGGAGGATGATAAAACTTGTGTTTCTTTACATTGGTAACTTTTATTTAGGAATAGGCTCTAAATGATTCGTCTTAGAGCTTTTAAACGTACATGTCTCCAAAGTGTAGGATAGAATGTGCTGGACATTCCTAAGCCTTTTAAGGGTGATTCTGATACTTTGAGTTTTCAAAGCCTATCAGTAATCCATTTGCCCTCAGACTGGAAATCACAATGGGAACAGAATTCTTTTATTGTTATTATTTTTTTTTGAGACAGGGTTTCTCTGTGTGGCTTTGCGCCTTTTCCTGGAACTCACTTGTTAGCCCAGGCTGGCCTCGAACTCACAGAGATCCGCCTGGCTCTGCCTCCCGAGTGCTGGGATTAAAGGCGTGCGCCACCACCGCCCGGCTATTTTGTTTTTTTGAGACAGGGTTTCTCTGTGTAACCACCCTGGCTGCCCTGAAACTCGCTCTGTAGACCAGGCTGGCCTCAAACTCCTGAAAAACTGCCTGCCTCTGCCTCCTGATTACTGGGATTTATTTATTTGTATACAGTGTTCTGTCTGCATGCTTGCCTGAATGCCAGAAGAGGGCATCAGATTTCATTATAGATAGGACCTCTGGAAGAGCAGTCAATGCTCTTAACCTCTGAGCCATTTCTCCAGCCCTGGAACAGAATTCTTGAAGGAATAGAGAGCAAATTACCTGACATACCTGAGCTTTAGCTTTTTTTTATCTGGAAAGTAGGGGTAAAACAATGAGGAAAAAGTCTTGTGCACAGAGTGCATTTTTGAGGTAGCATATGACACAGAGATGCGTATGTCAAAACGAGTTTAAGCAACCTACTAGACTGCTTCAAAGAGGAGAAGGCTTCAACTAGCCTAACAGAACATAGATTACTCTTTTCCATCACTGCTGGGAGTCAAACCCAGGGCCTTACACATCTTAGCAAACTCTCCACTCCTTTGTTACATTCCCAGTCTCTATAAAAAAGTTAGAACCCTCAGGGCTGAAGAGATGGCTCAGAGGTTAAGAACACCGACTGCTCTTCCAGAGGTCCTGAGTTCATTTCCCAGCACCCACATGGTGGCTCACAGCCATCTGTAGTGAGATCTGGCTCCCTCTTCTGGCCTGCAGGGATACATGCAGACAGAACACTGTATACATAATAAATAAATAAATAAATCTTTTTTTAAAAAAAGTTAGAACCCAAATTTAATGTTTGATTTTCTTTCCCCATATACATACATACATATACATACACATACACACACACACACACACACACACATATATATATATATATATATGGCAGGTGGCTATGCATGTGAGTTCAGGCCCCCAAAGAGGGCAGAGGGACGTATCAGCTCTTCTGAAACTGGAGTTATAGACAGTTGTGAGCTGCCTGATAAACTCTGTCACACTCACAGAGATCCACCTGCCTCTGCCTTTCGAGGGCTAAGGGTTAAAGGCGTGGGCCACCACACCCTGTGCATTATGCACTCATAGCTGCTGAGCCATCTCCCAAACCCCTGTTCTGCTTGTTTGAGACAGGGTCTCTGTAGCCCTGGCTGTCCTGGAACTCACTCTGTAGACCAGGCTGGCCTCAAACTCAGAGATCCTCCTGCCTCTGCCTCCCAAGTGCTGGGATTAAAGGTGTGCACCACCACTCATGGCCTCAACATCCCTGTTCACAATTTGGTCTTTCTAAGTGCAGAATCTAATCTGGGCCTGTAGTCACTTGCCTGAGACTTAGGTTCCCTTTTTATCTTCAGAAATAATCTTGGCTATTCAATTTTCAGAAACATGTTTGCATCCCCTCCCCCATTATCATTCTCTCCCTCCTCTCTTTCAGAAGAGAAAGGTGGCTTGGTATCTGACGCCTATGGAGAAGATGACTTCTCTCGCCTAGGAGGTGATGAAGATGGTTATGAAGAAGAGGAGGATGAGAACAGCAAGCAGTCGGTGGGTAAATCTTCCAGATCCAGAGCTGTTTAAAACAGTATTCCATTCCATAGTTAACTCTGTCCCTTTTTCCCTATTGTTTGGAATCAGTTGGTACCAGTTGGGGAATGTAGCTCATGGGAGAGTGCTTTGCCTAAGCATGTCAAGAGCTTGATCCCCAGCACCACAAAAAGAAAAAATTTAATTTCTTGAGTAAAAGTAGTTCTCTTTGAAAATTAAGTTGGTTTTTCATCTGAACCATATTGTAGTAACTTTTGAGTTGAAATTTGGGATGGGGGTGTGTGTTTTGTTGTGTTTTGTTTTGTTTTCTTTGAGACAGGGTCTCATGCAGCCACTCTGGCTCCAAACTCGCTGTGCAGCCTTGAGCTCCAGACCCCCTTGCTTCAGTCTCCTGAGAGCTGAGGTTGTAAGCATGAGCCACCATGCCTGGCTTGGTTATTTTCTGTAACCTAAGTATCAGTGGGTGTTTTATGCTGGTTTGTGAGTTTAACTAGTCTTCCTACTTGTATAAGTATGTTCATCCTTATTAGTGTATCATTTACATGTCTGTAAACAACTTTTATTATTTTTAATCTTACTTTGAGTTTATTCAAATGCTTCACTTTCTAACGAGGTAAGGAAGGGAAGTTACTTTGTTATCATCCACTTTGACTCTTCTGTTATATTTTACTTGGTGTTTTTGTCAGAGTGACCCTGGTTCTTGATCACTAACTTTCCCTGAAGTTCAGTAGGTACAGGTAACAGTAGAAGGAGAACTCTGTTCTCATTATCAAGAAGGATTCCAGGACACGACCACTCAAGCAGTACAAATCAGAATTTTAAAGTTTGAAAGGGAAAAAGGCAAGGAAATTCAGGCTGTTGCTTAGCACAAAAAGACATCTGAAATTGAATTTGGGTATTGAATATAGCCACTTAGAAGCAATGTTCATTGAAATGCTCACAACATACTTTTATTTTTTGTTTGAGTTTTTTGTTATATGTTACTATGTAAATGTTAGTATTAAAATGCTTTTTAACTAAGTATAGTAGCCTGTGCCTACAATTCTAGCATTCAGGGTGCTAAAGCAGGAAGAGTGAAGATTCCAGAGTATATTCCTGTCTCAAATAAGTAAATAAATAAAAATGAAGACTGGGGGTGTATCAGTGGTACAGCTATAGCATTTGCCTAGCATTCACGGGGCCCTGGGTTTGATCCCTAATACCACATAAAAACAAAAGCTTTTATTCTCTTTTGTGAGGATTTTTCATACCTTTAGCCCCATTCATTGGTGATAATTCAGAGTTAAGCTGCTTAGAAAATTTGTGGGCTAAGGAAATCACTCATTTGGTAGAGTGTGTGTAGCATGGATGAAACCATAGGGTTGTTCCTCGGCATCAACTACATATATCGGCCATGGTGGTTCTTCACTCTTCCTGCTTTAGCACCCTGAATGCTAGAATTGTAGGCACAGACTACTATACTTAGTTAAAAAGCATTTTAATGCTAACATTTACATAATAACATGTAACAAAAAAACTCAAACAAAAAATAAAACCACCATGGCCTGTAATCCCAGCTCTCAGGAGGTAAAAGAATGAGGATCAGAAATTCATGGTCCTTCTTTAATGCATTTATTTGCATGTATGTTTTTAAAATATTGACCTAAATTTACTTTTTGTCACCTTTAAGCTGATATTTTAGTTTAAAAAAAAAAAACTCGCATCAAACCCCAATATGGACAGTAGGAACTATGTTAGCATTTTGCAAATCCATCTTTGATTCTTTAGTTGATTGATTGCATTTAAGGAAGTTGTGTAGGTGGCATTATGAGCCTTTGATTCACTGGGACCACCCAGGGCACTTGTCTCAAAACCGTCAGTGTGGTTTGTTCACACTTAGGTGCTGTTTGTATTAACATCCCCAGTGCTGTGTCTTACTTAGGTTAAAGTGTAGTAGGTTGTTCCACATCTGCTTCTTAGCTTTTGACCTTAATTGCATTTGTGTTCAGTGGAATTGTAGGCTTTCTTTGGAGAGTTCAGTATCCCCATGGTTTTGACTCAGGCAGACCTCACTTGGGTAAGAAGGAAGGCTGGAAACAGTGGATCAGTGACAGTAATGTGAACACCCAAAAGGCTGTGCCTTGCCCTTTAGTCCTCAGTCTCGGGTCACATGGTCTGATGATTTGATACCGCCTTTCCATATTCATGTTAGTGTCAATGCTGCTGGCTTGAGGTGCTGGTGTCGCAGCATGTAGGTTCGATGGCAGTCTAAGTAATCGTGGGTACGAATGTCAGAAAAGTGGTAAAAGAGTTCACTGTCATGGCTTTAATGATTGCAGTTTGCCTTTTGGACACTGGGACCTGGCCTGGCATTGTGGAACCTGTTGGATCTCCCCTCTTTACATGGTTTTGTTCAGGAATTTTCACTGATGTAGATGATGACACACTGATTTCGAGCTACTGATTTTTTTCCCCCCAGAACGTCTCCT